CGCCAGGTACACCGGCGCGCCGGCGCCCACGCGCTCCGAGTAGTTGCCCTTGCGGAGCAGCCGGTGCACGCGGCCCACGGGGAACTGCAGGCCCGCGCGCGACGAGCGCGACTTGGCCTTGGCGCGCGCCTTCCCTCCCTGCTTGCCGCGGCCAGACATCCTCAACGCCCAGGCACCGGACTCGGAGCAAAGGAACAGCCGCGCGGAGAAGAGCGGCGCGTACGGCCCCGGCCAGTCCTTATATGTCGTCCGGAGGTAGGCTGGACGGCGCCTTCGGATTGGATAGTACCAGGAACCAATCACAAAACGAACCCGGCAGCTCCTAATTTGCATATGCCTTTCCCGCAGGTGACGTAACGCGACATTTCATCCAATACTAGAGGCTCGCTGTGCGATCCTTCATTTGAATACGGAGCACATAAGTAGAGTTAGTGCGACCGCATCGCATAAATCTCCCTCGACCTACCACCATGCCAGATCCCTCCAAGTCAGCTCCGGCCCCCAAGAAGGGGTCCAAGAAGGCCGTCACCAAGGCGCAGAAGAAGGATGGCAAGAAGCGCAAGCGCGGCCGCAAGGAGAGCTACTCCATCTACGTGTACAAGGTGCTGAAGCAGGTGCACCCCGACACCGGCATCTCGTCCAAAGCCATGGGCATCATGAACTCGTTCGTGAACGACATCTTCGAGCGCATCGCTGGCGAGGCCTCGCGCCTGGCGCACTACAACAAGCGCTCGACCATCACGTCGCGCGAGATGCAGACGGCCGTGCGCCTGCTGCTGCCCGGGGAGCTGGCCAAGCATGCCGTGTCCGAGGGCACCAAGGCCGTCACCAAGTACACCAGCTCCAAGTGAGGCGGCGCCGCCCCAACGGCTCTTTTCAGAGCCACCTCCAAGCTCAGAAAGGAGCATGCAGCCGGGCCTGCGCGCCGCCGCACCGCGACCCGCACGGGCCGGGAACCCCGCGTCCCGTGCGGGCGCCAGAGGCGGGGTCGGCTCCCGTGCATGGAAGGGCGGCCTGGGGGCCGGGGAGCCCGCGGCTGTGCTCCGCCCCGGGGCCCCGTGCCACCCGCCCCGTCCTCGAGGGCGCCCTGGAGGCCCCGCCCCGTCCTCCCCGCGTCCGCACTCACGGTTCTGAACGCCCAGTGGCGGCGGCGTGGCTCGGGCGGCAGAGCACCAGCCCAGACATCGCCGGTGCCCGGGGGCGCCCGTCCCGGTCAACGGGGCTCCTTTGCTTTTCCCCGGCTGGGTGGGGGTTTGGGCCTCACGGCCGCGCCGCACCTGACGGCTTCGCTGAGGTCGGCGGGGCGCAGCCAGCCCGGAACAAAGCGAGCCAGGCCCCGTCTGTGACGGCTGCGCCTCGTTTGCAAACCATCTTCCAGGGCTCCATTCTCACTTTGTTCTAAACATTCTGGCAGGGGTTTGTTTTTCTTGTGCTGGTTCTGGGACTGGAGCTCAGGGCCTGAGCACCGTCCCTGACCACTGTTGAAGGCTCCTTGGTGTTGGGGGTGTGGACGCAGGTCCTGGGCTGGCTGTGGACGGAAGTCCTCAGCTCGCAGGTCCTGATTGCAGGCCCAGCGGGGCCTCCGGCGCCGGCTCTCTGTTTCTTGAAATGGTTTCCTCCGTGTGATTAGCAGTGGCCTTGAGTGACGGCGGCTGGGTGCAGCAAATCTCGCTTCTGGTGGCTTAAACCGTAGACAGCAACGTTTTCAAAACGCTGCAGGTGAGCACAGGAGTCCTGCTGGGTCCCTCCCCCTTTCCATCTGGGAACGCGCAGGTCATTAAGAAGCCATTTTGTATTGATTATTTTTGGCACACAGAAAGGGTTTTTAGAACGGAAATGTTTCGATATTTGTGTGCATGAAGACGACGACAGACAAACCTAGGTTTATGTGAATTCCACACATAGATGCATTTTTTTTTTTTGGTTGGTCGTGGGGCCTGAACTCTGGGCCTGGGCGCTGTCCCTCAGCTCTTCAGCTCAAGGCGAGCGCTCTACCACTTGAGCCACAGCGCCACCTCCGGCTTTTTTCTTTTTGCTTATGTGGTGCTGAGGAATCGAACCCAGGGCCTCATGCATGCAAGGCAAGCGCTCTACCACTGAGCCACCTTCCCAGCCCCACACAGATGCATTTTTGAAACTAGCTTCTTATATAGACGGTGCCACCAAAAAACCAGAAGTGGCTCAACGTGGTAGCGCTAGCCTTGAGCAAAAGAGCTCGGGGACAGCGCCCAGGTCCTGAGTTCAAGTCCACCACTGACCGAAAGAGACAGACAGACAGGATAAAAGCTGTCTATTTCTGTTCAAACTTTCATCTCTTAAGGTTTCTCCCGGGAAGGCTTGGTATTTTCAGGCATCAAGTAGAATCAGCATTCAGAAGCAAGGGTTCTAGAGGGTTCCTGTCTTCTCAGTAGGAGGAACGCCGGGTCAATTTCCAGTGCTCTTGAGTCAAATTTAAGTGAATCATTGAAAAAGGAAATTTTATAATTCGGTTATTCTCTTTTGCTTCGTTCCTGTCTAGAAATTAATTCCGGAGACGGCGGTCCCGCCGGCCAGCCAGCGGGCTGTGGCGATCGTCTGCTCCACGTAGTATGTTTGGAGATGGACTCAGGCGCGAACTACAGCCGCACTTGTCCAGAGGGGGAGCAGGAGATCGGATTGAGCTCAGCTCGGCCCAGGCGCGGCGCGGCCCCGCGGGGCGCAGCGGAAAGCGCACCCGTGTGAACTCCGCGGCCGGCCGGCCGTGCGCGCCTGCGCCGTGCGCGCAGCCCTGGCGGCGGCGCCCAGACGTTGCGGGGAGGGGGGGTGAGATAGCGGCTTTAGTTAGCGAGGGGCCGAGGGCCCCGGGCCCCCGCTGCCGTCTCACCGTGGACGGCTCTGGACGGTGCACAGCCCGCTGGCTTCTGGGCCATGACCCGGAGGCCACGGCTGAAGGAACAGCTGCGTCCCGGCTCCTATTACAGTGTACGGGACGGACGGACGGACGCGGGAGCCGCCGGCCGTGGCCCGCGCCACCGAGGCCCGGGGCGGGGGCGGAGCCGCTCGGCTCCCTGACTCCGTTTCCCGGGTTGGTGCGAGGCCCGACCGCGCCGTCCGTGGGTGATCGGTGAGAACGCCGCCCCGCGCCCACCCCGCCCCGCGCGGACCGAGCGGCACCCAGGCCGCGGGCCCGGCGTCGCCGCTCACACGCACGTGCGCACACACACTGTGGGGAGAGAGGCCGCGGGTGTGGGGAGGGGCGGCGCCGCTTGCTCACGCACGCATTGGACAGAGACGCGGGTGGGGGGACCGGGGAGGAAAGGTGGAGACGCCGCCGGGCATCGGGGCGGCGCGACCCCGCCCCGCCGGACGCGGGATCCGGTGCTGCTCCTCCAAACGCACCGCACCAGCGACCCGGGCCGCGCGCTCGAGCGCCTGCGTGGCCGTGGAGCTGGGGTACGTGGTGCCGGCCTTGGTGCCCTCGGACACGGCGCGCTTGGCCAGCTCCCCGGGCAGCAGCAGGCGCCCGGCCGTCTGCACCTCGCGATGTGATGGCGCAGCGCTTGCTGTAGCGCCAGGCGCGACCCGTGTCGGGGTGCACCTGCTTCAGCACCGTGCACACGTAGATGGAGTAGCTCTCCTTGCAGCCGCGCTGGCGCTTGTTGCTGTCCTTCTGCGCCTTGGTGACGGCCTTCTTGGACCCCTTCTTGGGGCCGGGCCGGAGCGGGAGGGCTCCGGATCCGGAGACAGCGCCCGCACGAACCGCGGCACTGCCAAGGACGGGCTGCTTCTCAGCTCTATATTCAAATGAGGGCTTGAAATCCGTAGTCTTTGATTGGACGCCCTGGGACTAGGTATGTAAATAGGAGATGCGGGCGTCCTCTTGCGATTGGACCGCCGTCCGGCCAATCCGAGCGCGCCTCGCCGGACCGGCGCCTGGACCCGGCGTGCTGGCGGAAACCCTTTGTTTGAAGGCGGAGGCGCCCGGCCGGGGCCGCCAGCCGGGACGCGGCGCGGAGGGAGGGGCGCCCGGTGCCACCTCGGACCGCGGGCTTCGGTTCTGAGGCGGATTCGCGGACTCGTTCGCTCGTTAGGCGGGGAGAGGCGCTTGATGCCCGCTTAGCGGAGAGGCCGAATTGGCCGAGGCATTTACCCCGCCCCCGCCCCCGGCCACGCACTTGTGGCGGATTCAGAGCGCGTCGCCCGGCTCGCACGGAAATAGGATGCGGGCGTGTTACGGTTCACTCACGACCAAAGGGGCCGGAGGCCGGGGCGGGGCGGCCGTGGTGCGGCCTCCGGGGCGGCAGCTGCCCGCGTCCCGCCGTGACCGCCCGGGGACCGGCCCCCTTTCCTCCCCGGAGCAGCGTCCCCGGCCGAGGCCACAGCCCGGGTCAGAAGCGTCCGGAAGGGAAGCGGAGGACGTCCCAGGCTCGGGCCGCTGCCCAGCGCGTCTCGCTGCGGGAGTCTGCCCTTCCTCCCCGTGGCGCTCCGCGGGCGGACGCGACTCCCGCGGGCTCCTCGCCGCCCGGCCGCCTCCGGCCCGGGCCTCCCCACCGCGCCGCCCCTGTCTGCGGGCATCGCCCCCCCCCCCCGGCCCGACCCTCCCCGTCCGCACCGCCCCTGTCTGGGGGCATCACCGCCCCCCCCCCCCCCAGCCCGGGCCCGGCAGGTGCGCGCGCAGTGCTTGGGAAGCGAGCACGCCCGGCGTCAGTCGCTGTCCTCCGGTCCAGCTCGGCCCGCTGCGGCCTGGTGAAGCTTAAAATCGGTGAAGGGCGGGCGGGGACTCGGCCCTCAGAAAGAGGAGGGAGCCTCAAAGTGTCCTCCAACAAATACACAGAAAAAGTACTTCCAAAAGATACAGACACAAAGGGAAGCAACGGGGAGCAGAGGGGCGTCGTGTGAGGAGAGCAAAGGACCCGCGTTGTTAACACGCAGCCCTCGCACGTCAGTGGGAGGAGGTTTCCAGAGTGGCCTAAGAGTATGGCAGAGAGACGTGCGCCACGCGGAGGTCACCAACGCTTTAAATGCAGGTTAACACGGACACTAAAGGAGATGCGGACGCAGCCACGCGTGCCGGGAAGCGCATCGCCGCCTCTGACTGCGGGAAGCAGCGAGCCCGCGGTGCGCACCGGGGCTTTGCGCATCACCTTTGCGCATCGCCGCCTCTGACTGCGGGGGCGCAGCGAGCCCACAGTGCGCATCGCCTTTGCGCATCGCCGCCTCTGACCGCGGGAAGCAGGAGCCCGCAGTGAGCACGGGGCTTTGCGCATCGCTGCCTCTGACTGCGGGAAGCAGGAGCCCGCGGTGCGCACGGGGCTTTGCGCATCGCCACCTGACTGCGGGAAGCAGCGAGCCCGCAGTGCGTACCGGGGCTTTGCGGTGTCTTCTTTGATCCAGAAATCTCTGCCATGTGTCCATCTACAAAGGAAATAACCAGGCTGCAAACAAAGCTCGTGCTTCATCCACAGAGCTGGTAATAAACAATGAGAAATGAGAGGCCTGACCAGCCGGTACTGGAGTATTGTAAGATAGGCCACGGCTCACCGTCACGGTGGAACATAATGAAATCACTAAGCATTTTTAAGCTATTTAACAAGAGACCCTTAAGTGAAACTATTAAGTACAAGGCTCTGAACGCATCTCCCTGGGCGCCACAGCGTTACCACTCACCCCTGCAAGCCAGCCTTCCAGCTCCCAGGACAAAAGGCTTCCCAACAAGCCCTCCTGCCTCTCCCGAGCTCCCCACCCTGGACCCCTGCCCTTCTGTTACGGGCCTTCGTCAATGCAAACACTTCTCTGAACATCTGTGCAAAGACAGAAGAGGTTTTTCATATTTTCTTAACTTTCTCAAAAGATAACTCTCCATCGACATCAACACCTAGCTGTACCTCCTCTGCTGATTCAACCAGCTCTGAAGACGTTTCGCTGTTTTTCCAACCCCTACCTTTATGTCTGAAAGCCTCTTTTCTTTACAGCATGTAATGGATACTCAGCTATTCCTTGAATGAATAAATGCGTAAATTAGCAGTATAAATCCAATTCTGACAAAATCAAATTAGTGAATTCTGTTCTAGATAGATTATAACATGCCTTCATTTCTTGTATGTATTCTGTTTTCTCATATTTTGTAGAACAAATTTATGACAAGCTTACTTTTATGATGAGGGGATATTAAACAGAACTATATTGTTCTTCCAGTTTAACTGACTCCCAGATCTGGATTAGAGATGCACCTGCTTGCCCTGGGATAATAAATGAAATTCAGCTGTATGATTTCCATATATTTTAGAAACTATTTAGGACCTGTGGTGAATCTGCTTATTCCTCCTCTGCATCAGTGGCATCTGGTGTACAGCACACTGAGCTAAGAACCGCTGTGCTGACCATCGCACCGAAATGGCTCACCAGTAGACCCGGCCTGCTGGCCCTGAGGTCTCTCTAGGGGGTGGCTCAGAGTTCATTTTAGATGTAATCTGTAGAAAAACCTGAATTTCCAAGGCCAACGCTTCTCAAACCTCCCTCAAAATATTCTTGTAAATTCACCATCTTGCAGGATGTTTTTTCCTCTTCAAATTGGATCTTTTTCCAGAAAAAAAAGGACATAAATGGCTTTTCTGTAAACTTTTAAGCATGCCTCTGCTGCATAGCCAGCAGTTCAGCAATCCCAGTTTAATAACCCCAATCATATCCCTTAGAACAGCCCCTCCACAATATAGTTCCTCCTGAAATATGCGGTTAACTTAACAAATATTTTAGGGTGCTCACTTAGGCCAGGTAACCCAGTTCCCAAATGTTTAAGTCAATTTAACTCTCATAACAGAGTTCAGGGCATATGAAGGTTTCTGCTTGTTCAAACCGTCCAGACTCCTGAACCACCTTCTAGGCCCACTTGTGTGGGTCCATGGCAAAATCTAGTCTTCACAAGAAATCCTGGTAAGTCAGCGGAACCCTGTAAGATGTCACCAGTTTCCTCCTCAATTTTCCACTCGTGCCCAGGTGATGTCCGGCTGTGCCGGCAGTGGATTCCCACCTGTCCACGCTGTGTTCCCAGTGGAGCCCCAGCTGTCCCCACTGCAAGACCACACTGACGTGGTCTACACCTACGGTAATGATCCTGAGTAAAACCTTACTGTTTTATGTTTTAGTCTGTAGTGTGTTAATGCCATAAACCTTGATATTTTATAAAGTATAAAAGTAAATTGAGTTATTTGTGTCAACACTAACAACAAACTGAGAAGTTGTTAAGGAAGTGTTCTTATGCATGCTTGATTGATAGAATCAGTCATGAACGACTATCAGAAGTGCAAGCTCACAGTTCACCACAATCTTACACAAAAGTGATAGAGGGGTTGTGCTTAACTTTCAGGAAACCCTCGTTCAATCCCAAGCATTCTGCCCCCCTTTCCCCATCCTCCACAAAGACATCTGCCCAGTTGCTGCCCAATCAGCTTCAAAAATCATGGTCATCACTGTTTAAAAAGTTCATATATTCTTCCTCATTGGAGTGTCTCAAAACTTTTGCTCACCTCGGTCTCTCTGAACGTTCTATAGCTTGCAGTCATACACAATTTCTGTCATTACCAAGTACTTTTTGCAGTCCCTCTGACAGGTACTTGTTTCCTCGTGGTGCTGAGGAAGAAACTTAGGGCCTTCACATGTCAGGTACGTGCTGAGCCATCCAACTCAGCCATCCATTTGTTACTCAGCTCAGCATTTGTTACTTGGAATAACAAAGCCTGTATGTTGGATGGACTGATGAAATGCTATAGGGCAAAGAAAGTTTTCCTTATGAGAAAGAAGAGAGAATGGGAGAGAAGGAAGGGAGGGAGGGAGTGGAAGGAGAGGGGTAAAAGCAAGCCCAGAAGCCATGGCCTTAGATACAGAGGGTAGATGGTTGTGTTTAGGAGTCACTTAAAAAAGGTTCAAGTAACTGGGCGCTGGTGGCTCACGCCTGTCATCCTAGCGACTCTGGAGGCTGAGATCTGAGGATCATGGTTTGAAGCCAGCCTGGGTAGAAAAGTTCGTGAGACTCCAATAAACTCAGAAAAAGCAGCAAGTGGCACTGTGGCTCAAGAGGTAGAGCGCTCGCCTTGAGCACAAAGCAGCCCAGGGCAGCGCCAGGACAGACAGAAAAAAAAGAGGTTCAAGTGATTAAATTCCTTAAAAAACACAAAACAGTAACAACAACAAAAACAAGCCGCAAGCCGTCCCCCTGCTGTCCCTCGCGGCCCCGGGGACAGGGCGGGTGCAGGGCCATGCCCGGGCCTGCGGGCTGGGTGAGCAGGACTCGCTCCTTTCTAGGAAGGGTGGGCCAAGAAGCCAAGTTCTTCCAAAACTCACTCAGGCTGTCCATACTGACCAAACACCACCACGGTGGAGAACACGAGTGTCCACCCTGCAGCCCCGGCCAGGGGCCTGTCCCCAGCCCCAACTCCAGCCCCGCCCCCAGCCCCGCCCCCAGCCCCAACTCCAGCCCCGCCCCCAGCCCCAACTCCAGCCCCGCCCCCAGCCCCAACTCCAGCCCCGCCCCCAGCCCCAACTCCAGCCCTGTCCCCAGCCCCAACTCCAGCCCCGCCCCCAGCCCCAACTCCAGCCCTGTCCCCAGCCCCAACTCCAGCTCTGCCCCCAGCCCCAACTCCAGCTCTGCCCCCAGCCCCAACTCCAGCTCTGCCCCCAGCCCCAGCCCCTGCCCCAGGACTGTGGACTCCAGAGCCAGGTAAGCCGGCTCTCCCCACAGGACACTGCCGTGCCCTGGAACTCTGTTGCAAGAAAGCCGTGGCCAGATGCAGCCCCTTCTCCTTGGAAGCCATGAGCCCAAATGAGTCCCTCTCCCTTGAGGTTGCCAGGTCTTTGGCACTGTGGTATCAGCATGGAGATGGACCATGCAGGCTTCTGACCGTCGCGGGGATCTCTGCAAGTGAACCCGGGGAGCCCAGGCGGGTGCTGACCTCAGACACAGGCAGGCGTTGGGCCACTGAATCATCAGGCTCTTCTGCTTGGCCTTATTTATCTTCCAGCAGTCGTTGGCAACGCCTGCGGTGGCCGCCTGACACTCGATCTGATTGAGCCCAGACATCTAGAAGAGGGGGCTGTTTTCCAGTGGAGAAGGCGAGTGGGCCTCTGGAGACAACTGCCTGAGTGTGAGCCAACCCTGAAGATCTGGGGCTGGGAAGGCTCAGGAGGGGCCACGGCCTGCCTCGAGCCGCCAGCAGCCACATGATTCCCACCTCTGCAGACACCATTCCCAAGGCAGAGGTGCCACCCACCACCGAATGGTCCCACACATCCCACACATTGGGTTTCCTAGAAATCTTATTTGTGCTTTTTTATTTCGGTACGACACAGATGTGAATGGGAATAGATGCAAATCAATCCATTTGTGTTTTATACTTGACTTTTAAACCAAGGGAAAATCTGAACAAACCCTCTAGTATCATTTGCTTGTACAGAACTTAAAGGTCACTGATTTTGAGCTGGGTTCTGGTAGTTCATGCCTGTAATGCTAGCTACTCAGGAGACTGAGATCTGAGGATCAAGGTTTGAAACTAGCCTAGGCAGGAAACTCTAAGACTTATCTCCAATTAATCTCCAAAAAGCTGGAACTGGAGCTATGGCTCAGATGGTTGGAGTGCTAGCTTTGGGGAGTGGAGAGTCGCTCAGCACCCAGGCCCTGAGTTCAACCCCAGGACTGGTGCACACACCCACTCACCCCACTTGTTTTGGAGTCCATGCAGCTGAGTGATATATTCTTAACTTCCCACTGGCTTTGCTGTGGATGACATCTGTGATGTATGGGTTATGATAGGAACACTTGACTAGGTTATTTCTCAGGGACTTGGAGACCAGTTCTGTAGAAAGTACTGACTCTTCATTTGGGCCTGCAAGTATCCAATCAGTAATTGTTTGCCATTCGGAGGCTGAAATTTCTACCTCAGGATGCTAACACTGCTATTTCTGTACACACAGTCTATGAAGAGTCATGAAGACTGACTGCATGTGTGTAGATCACTGATTACTCCAAAAACCTTTACCCTGCCCCAGACGCCCCTATAACTCAAAGACCCTAAGCTTGGAGAGGTGGACCCAAGACTTGTTCTGTCTCCACATCTTAGCCCCATAGTAGACAAACCTTTCCCTTCTGCACACATTGTGCTATTTATGAGGATAAGGGAAAAAGAATGATAGTGTGAACAATCAGAAAAGGCATCACACCTATCTATGGAACCAGAATAAAGAATCTCAGTGAAAGCTGCTGACGACAGGAGGTTGGGAAGAGAAAAGACGTACCTTGGAAGGTGGGTGCCAGTGGGCGAGGCTGTGTAAGAGGAGGGGGCCGGAGGAGGAGCATGGTCATCGTAATTTATGAGAAGGCCTGGAACACATCGCACGCAGGGGTGGAAATGGCAGAACCCCCTGTGTGAGCACCAACGCATGAATGCATGGCGATGAAAGGGAGGCGTGTTGCAGACAGACAGACGCTGGTCTTGGCCTGGGGAAGGCTTGCCTGGCTCACTCAGGGCTCGAAGGCCGCAGGCTCTGGGCGCTTCTCCCCAGGCGGCTCCGTCTCAGGACCCGGGATTACAGCGCGCGCTCGCGGGACGCGCACCTTCCATCGCAGCTGGAGCTCAGGACCCTGAGCCGTGTCCGCGCGTGCGCACGCGTGTGCTCGGGTCACGGAGCACCCGACTCAAGCCGATAATTCTCCTTCCTCAGGAGGCTGAGATCTGGGGGGTTGAGATTTGACGCCAGCCTGGGCGGGAAAGTCAAGACGCTGGCCGGACGGCGCACGTCCCCGGGGGAGGGGAGGGGGGTGCGCGTCCCCGGGGGAGGGGGGGGGTGCGTGTCCCGGGGGGGGTGCGCGTCCCCGGGGGAGGGGAGGGGGGTGGGCGTCCCCGGGGGAGGGGGGGTCCGGCCGGCGCGCGCGTCCCCGGGGGAGGGTGCGTGTCCCCGGGGGAGGGGGGGGGGTCCGGGCTGCGCGCGCGTCCCCGGGGGAGGGGAGGGGGAGGTCCGGCCGCGCGCGCGCAGCCGCGTGCACCTGGCGGTGCCCACCCCGGGAGCGCGGGTCTGCTCTCACAAAGCTCGCCCGCAAGGAGCCGGGCACGCGAGGTGGATCTGCGCGGAACAGGGACTCGCGAGGAGGCCGCAGGCGGGAAAGGCCCGACGGGGACGCGGGCTGCAGGGGCGGCGCAGGAGCCGGGCGCGGCTGTGGAGGGGACTCTCCCGCGAGGTCCCGCCGGCCCCGCCCCGCGCGGACGCGGCCCCACGGAGACGACGCTCAGGTCCTAGCAGCTCACAAAGAACGACCCTCAGACGGTGGCTCTCCAAATGACTAGAATGCTGCGTCCCCCGGTGTGAGATCCGTGCGCGTAAAGCGATCTCCGGTAGGATCTCCCCGTGAGGAAGAGACGCCCGCCGGCAGAGCCGCCAGCGCGCGCGGCTCTCGGCTTCCAGGACCCCGGAGGGGAGGCGCGCCGCCGGCAGGGCTGGACCGGAAGCGCGCTCGGAGGCCGGGACCCCGCCCTGCCCACACGCTTCCGGCGTTGGCGTAGGCGACGTCGCCGACGTCGTCCCGGTCCCGGCCCCGGCCCCGGCGCGCCGCGAGCCGTCCCGAGCGCTCGCCCCGGCCCGCCGGCTCCCCGGCGTCCTTCCCGCGCCGCCGCCGCCGCCCCGCCGCCCGCAGCCCTGGCGCTCCCCGCCGGCCCCGCCGAGGCCGCCTGCGCCCTGTGCCAGCGCGCGCCCCGCGAGCCCGTGCGCGCCGACTGCGGCCACCGCTTCTGCCGGTCGTGCGTGGTGCGCTTCTGGGCGGAGGAGGACGGGCCCTTCCCGTGCCCCGAGTGCGCCGACGACTGCTGGCAGCGCGCCGTGGAGCCGGGCCGCCCGCCGCTCAGCCGCCGCCTGCTGGCCCTGGAGGAGGCGGCCGCCGCCCCGGCGCGCGATGGCCCGGCCAGCGAGGCGGCGCTGCAGCTGCTGTGCCGCGCCGACGGGGACCCGCTGTGCGCCGCCTGCCGCATGGCCTCGGGCCCGGAGCCGCCGGAGTGGGAGCCGCGCTGGAGGAAGGCGCTGCGCGGCAAGGTAGGCCCGGGCCCCGCGGCCCCCGCCTCCCCGCGGCCCCCGCCGGCCTCCGCCTCCCCGCGGCCCCCGCCGGCCTCCGCCTCCCCGCGGCCCCCGCCTCCCCGCGGCCCCCGCCGGCCCCCGCCTCCCCGCGGCCCCGCCGGCCCCCGCCTCCCCGCGGCCCCCGCCTCCCCGCGGCCCCCGCCTCCCCGCGGCCCCGCCGGCCCCCGCCTCCCCGCGGCCCCCGCCTCCCCGCCGGCCTCCGCCTCCCCGCGGCCCCCGCCTCCCCGCGGCCCCCGCCGGCCCCCGCCTCCCCGCGGCCCCCGCCTCCCCGCGGCCCCCGCCGGCCCCCGCCTCCCCGCGGCCCCCGCCTCCCCGCGGCCCCCGCCTCCCCGCGGCCCCGCCGGCCCCCGCCTCCCCGCGGCCCCCGCCGGCCTCCGCCTCCCCGCGGCCCCCGCCTCCCCGCGGCCCCCGCCGGCCCCCGCCTCCCCGCGGCCCCCGCCTCCCCGCGGCCCCCGCCTCCCCGCGGCCCCGCCGGCCCCCGCCTCCCCGCGGCCCCGCCGGCCCCCGCCTCCCCGCGGCCCCCGCCTCCCCGCGGCCCCCGCCTCCCCGCGGCCCCCCTGGCCCCCGCCGGCCCCCGCCTCCCCGCGGCCCCCCTGGCCCCCGCCGGCCCCCGCCTCCCCGCGGCCCCCCCTGGCCCCCGCCGGCCCCCGCCTCCCCGCGGCCCCCCTGGCCCCCGCCGGCCCCCGCCTCCCCGCGGCCCCCCTGGCCCCCGCCGGCCCCCGCCTCCCCGCGGCCCCCGCGCCCGGTCCCCACCTCCCCGCGGCCTCCGCGCCCGGCCCCCGCCTCCCGGCCCCAGCCCTTCCCCACCGAGCTCCCCAGGCCCTCCCCTGTGGCACCTGCTGTTGGGCAGAAACAACCCCGAGTCCGGCCGAGGCTCGGGGTGGGGGGAGGCCAGGTCCACGGTGACAGGACAGAGGCTCCCGCGTCTGCCCGCGGGAGGGAGGGAGGGAGTGGCCGCCCGGCTCGGGGCCTGGCCTGGCCCCGGCACGGGACCTCGGGCGCCGCGTCTGGGCTGCCTCCCGCCGGATGTGGTCGGCGGGCAGCCTCGCGGGGCTCCTCCCTGGGGCGCAGGGACCCACGGGCTGGGGAGTGGGAGCGGACCGGGCACGGCGGGCAGAGTTGATGCGGAAGGGGCCAGTGTGGGAAGAGCTGCCTTGCTTTGTCCTGAGACCGGGACCCTCCAGGGCACCGTGCTGCTTGGGCCACCCGGAGCCCCGTTTTTGACAGTGGCAGTGGGAAGCAGAGACTGTTCACTTTGGGGTTGTTTATGGATTGACAGGTGAGAGGCCACGCAGCCGGCCAGCTAGGGGCATCGGGGCTTCCGCTGGCCTTTGTGCTCCGATCTTCCCCCTCGGTAACCAGCTTTTCTTCCAGGAGAACAAAGGGTCGGTGGAGATCATGAGGAAGGACCTGAATGACGCGCGGGACCTGCACGGCCAGGCCGAGTCAGCCGCCGCTGTGTGGAAGGCAAGTGGAGGCGGGGGTGGGGGGGTGGGGGTTGTGTCACCTGGATGCAGCAAACAGACCAGGCAGCAAAACAGGGTACCCACCATCCTGGTTGACTGGAATAGGAGCTTTTGGACGCCAGGGTATTTTTCTAGTGTGTTTATGGGCTTTTCCCCAAATAGAATCTAACCAAAAGTGGGCAGGGATCTTCACATTTTATATTGGGGGATTTGCAATGTTAAATCTTTTATACGTAGTGCTTTGTAGTACCTTTTTTTGGGGGGGAAGCAACAGTACTGGGGTTTGAATTTGCCAACCTTATTAGGCAAGTGCTCTACCACTTGAATTATTCCTACCATATACTGTTTGGCTTTTTTTTTGACATTCTAAGGGAAACAAGACAAAATTTCTTCTAGGGCCCTTGACTGGGTTGAGAATTGAGTTGGTATAAAGTAGATTAACAAGAAAACAGTACTTGCTCATTAGCTCTAGTTTGCGTGGCACACTAGTCCTTCGAAAATAGACCCAAAGATGCAGTTAAATTCCAATCATTGTATACTGAATTGGGCAAAGAATTGTGTGTTGAGCTGACTGCTGGTGTCTCGTGCTATAATCCCAGCTGCTCAGAAGGCTGAGATATGAAGGTCTGATTCAAAGCCAACCTAGGCAGCAAAGTCAGAGACATCTCCAATTACCCAACCAAAAACCCAGCCTGGTGTAGCTCCAGCGGTAGAATGCTAGCTGAGAGCAAAACAGCTGAGTTAGAGGTCGGCCCTAAGTTCACACCCTGATGCTGGAAGTAAAGAGGCAAATATATTTGAAAAACAACTAAGTTATGTCGGGAGGCACAAAAGACAGTTATTTCGACAAGGTCTGTGCAGAATCAGCCTTACTTCTCTCCTCAGTGATAAGAACATCAACTCTTTTGGTACAAGCAGGAATACATTGATTTGTGTTGCTGTAACAAAAGCACACGAGACTGAATACTGTATAAAGGAAGTGGGTTTCTTACCTTGTGGAGTCTGGAAGTCCAAGGTCCAGTGTCTCCATCTGTCTAGCTTCTGGTAGCATATGTGGACTACGCTGGGGGACCAGCCTTACTCTCTCTGACAGTTTATCTTCTTGGGAATCAGCCAGGATCTTGTGGCATTCATTCTTCTAGAGGATCTTCCCGATGACCTAACTCTTTCCAGAGGTAGTTCAGGCTCTTAAAGGCCACACAACCTTAGCCTTGCCACGCTAGGGCTAAGCTCTAGCCCAGAAACCTTGAGGGACCATAAAAGAGGGCACCTTTCACATAGGAGTTTCATTCTTGCTTTAAGAAATAGCAAGGATCAGACCTTCTTAAGCCTACTATTTTTGTTTTAATGGCCTTTGTTTTAGAATACTCAGGCCGTGTTTTGGGGCTATCAAACTCATAACTTTATGTTTCTTTTTTCCTTTATAAATTTTATGTTATCGTAAAGATGCTGTACAGAGGGGTTACAGTTACATGAGTAAGTGATGAGTACGTTTCTTGCGGAACATTGCTTATAACTCTCTTGAAAGCAGACGGCGTTCTCTTCCCAACTAACAGCAGTGGTAGTAGGGACTGTGGTTCAGGGTGTCCGCAAGGCCCAAGGATACGGTTTTTTGTTTCCTCCCCCGCAGGGACATGTGATGGACCGCAGGAAGAAGGCCCTGACTGATTATAAGAAGCTGCGGGCTTTCTTTGCTGAGGAGGAAGAGCACTTTCTGCAAGAGGCTGAGAAGGATGAGGGCATCCCGGACGAAGAGCATGCCGACCCTGCTGAGCGGTTCCGGTGCCTGCTTCAGGCTGTGTCAGAGCTGGAGAAGAAACACCGAAACCTGGGCCTCAGCATGCTGCTGCAGGTACCGGGCCACGGGCAGGGTGCACTCCACACCGCCGGGAAGCAAACGTCTGGGGTAGGGAGTCATGTCGGCGAGGCCTATAGCATGGCCGGCCTTCTGCCTGCGTGCCTCTGGGGCTGGATTTCGAAATGGGTGAGTGGTTGAGGCAGACATTGCAAGCGGATTCTGAGGTGAGGAAGTTACAGAGTATTCCCGGTCTTCACCTGGGATGGGATACGTAACCCCGAGCGAGGGCACTCGCGGGGCCCAGCGCCGCCTGGCTTCTCAGGACAGGAGACACCAGACCCCTCCTGGGGTCAGCTCTCCCCACCCTTTGCCCAAGACGCGCATCAGCTTGTTAGGGCTCTGTGCACGCCACACACACCAGCACCTCCCTGTCTGCAAGGCGCCCCTCCACCCCCACACGCATCAGCCAGCTCAGCCATCCACAGTAGTCGTGTGGTGGGGCCCTGAGCATGGAGCACCGGCCTGGGCTCACGTCCGAGGTGCCCGGTCGCCTGCATTCTGGGTTGGTTACGCCGAGGGCCGTAGCTAGCTCTGCCTCTCTCTCCCTCTTTCTCACTGTCTCTTTTCTGCTGTCTGTCTCTATCTCTTCTCACTGTCTTTATGTCCCTCTCACACCATGTCTGTGTGTCTGTCTCTGCCTCTGCTTCTGTGTGTCTGTTTCCCTTTCTCCCCTATTTCTGTATGTCTCTGTGTCTGATGTGTCTCCTTCTGCCTTTGTCTCTGTCTTCCTGTCTCTTCTCCCCTGCAGTGATGATGCTGAGCAGCAGGCGGGTCCCCAGTGGAGCACAGCTGGCCTGCAGCGGCCCCGCCGCACCCCTCGGGCCTCTGCCCAGCATCGCCCTCCACACTGGACAGATGCTCATTTCCGTCAGCACCAACAGCGCGTAGGCCGGAGGAAGTGTCGCAGGTGCCCCGCCTTTGATCATCCATGTAGCTCTCCGTCTCAGCAAAGTGTTGTTTTCCATGTTCCCTGAGGTGTGAATGTATTCCAGGCTAGTCCTAGGACTCCCTCCCCAGTGTGCCCAGCCTTCCTCGAACCCGTGCACCGAGGTCCCGGCATTGTCTTTGTTGAGGGCCTAGTAGTCACCGGTGTCAAAAGAACCAAACTGCATGCCTTTCCATGGTGCCCAGGCCAAGGCTTGCTTGTGGGACCTCCCTCCATGGGTAGGAAATCTGGGGCACACCAGCCAAGGTCACATTAGGCTCTGGGATGCAGTTTTAACCTGGCCTTTTGGGGAAGAGAAAGTGAAACATTCTCCACCGTCCTGAGTGGCGTCCCGTCCTTTGGAGATTTGCTCAGAGCTCGTCCGCCGGCCGCCCCGCCCCCTTTCTTCCTGGCTTGTGCCTGGGTAGTCTCTGCTCCTTCTTGCCTCGTGGGAGAGGGGCTCTCTTTCCCAGCACCGGAGGGAGGGGTGTCCCCCCCCCCCCCCCCCCAGCTCTCACCGCCCTGGTGCTTCACCTTGCTGTATCTTTGGCTTTTCCTCGCTTCATGTTTTCTCCAGTAAGTGAATTTCACAAAATTTGTGATGTAGCCGTAGTGTGGTTGCCTGCAGCATCGTTGTGTGTAGATTATCTAGTCCAAGGGATGAAAGTCCAGCACAGGTGGTCAGAAACGAGTTCAGGGATCACAGACGCAGGCACGTTTAGACTCACTGTTTCAGGGATGACACCTCAGTGGGTGACTGTTTTCTCCAGGACCCCCCTGGCCTTGAGTGAGGACTGAGTCTGACCTGCCCCCACCCCGTGGTCCGGGGTCTTAGTGCTGAATAAAGTGGGCTTGCGCCAGCCTGTGTGCTTCATGCCCTTCCTTTGGTGTCTCTGTCCTCGTCTTTTACCCTGCCTCTGGCCCATTTCCAGTGTTAATGTTCAAAAGTTCTCAGTGATGCCTTGTTAAAGTATGGTAAAGAGTCTTTGCTCGGGACCACTGAGACAGGTGTGGTGGCCACTTGCCCGTGGCCCCGTGGTCAGCGGACGGTGTGGGCTCACCTCCAAACACAGCCAGAGATTAAGATGATTGACCCGTCAGAAGTCGGGTCTCTAGATGACCCACCAGTAGACTCTCTACTGCAGGCAAGACGGGGTGGCAAGGCATCTTTTGGGGACAGCGGGAGAGGAGGGACCCCGGCAGATGTATTAAGAGGATGAGAAGTTCCCTATGCCTGGCAAGGGTGAGCTGCAGCCATCAGACCAGGAGCGGCATGAACAGAGACGCAGCTGGCAGGAAGCGGAGCAGCTCTGGCTTCCCACTGAGTGTTTCTGACAAAATACGACCTCCGAAATCAGAAAGGCTTAGGTGGGCTGGAGATCAAAGTTAGAAGTCTGTGTCAGTTCTAAGTCGGCTCTATGCCATTCTACACGTGGCAGACCTAAGGGATGTACATCAGACTCTGAGAGGCTGTTTTCTTGGAACCTGTGATTGGCATGCCCTGTGGATCTCAATAGTGGCTAAGGAAAGCCCTCGTAAATACCTCTGTAGCTCCTGAGGTGTGTTGAGCACTCAGGAGCCCTGTCCCTGTGACTCCAGCCAGGTCCAGGAGGCCCTGCGTGTATCCCAGGCCTCTGCCTGCTGGCTGCTGGAGTGATCTCCACTTCAACCCAGGTAGTGAGTGGTAGCAGCCTCTACTGTGCTGTTTCCAGGATTCAAATGTATAGCCTGATGAAGTGTGGCGAGGCCTTAGTATTTTCCTATGCTGGCAGCCGGCATTGACCTCCCCTTGGATCTGGTTCCAGTGGAAGAGCACTGGCCCTTTCCCGTGCTCAGAGCCCTCTTGGTCCTCCCCTTCCTCACTGCAGGGCAGTCAGCCCTCCCCCGGGAACTGGCCAGCCTTGTCCTCACCCATTGCACCATGGGAAGAACTGACATTCTCCGCTAAATCACGTTAGCGGCAGATTCTAGTGTCTCTGAGGCCTGCTTGCCGGCTCATGGGTGACCCTCTCATTGCGTCCTCACATGGGAGGAGGGTTGAGGGGCCTCCCTGGGGTCCCTTTGGTAAAGATGCTCATCTTACTTGTGAGTCCTTGTCCTTGTGATGGCATCGTTTTCTTCCTAATACCATCACAGGGACAGGAGGAAGAAGTCAGACATTCAATTAAAGCAGAAGCCAAAAGGCCGAGAATCCCAGAGAGAGATGCTCCAATTTATTAGATCTTTGAGAAACAAAAAATGACGTGCTCCTAGGAGTGAGTGGCATCGGGAAGGTAGAGATAAAAAACGCCTTCTCCCAGCCTTACTGCCGAGTGCGCTACACCTGGCAGGTTTTGCCAGATTTTAAAGTCAGTGACTCAAGAACCCAGCAATTCCATTGTGGTGTTTTCTGAAGAAATCCTCTTCAGTGCACAAGGTTACGGTACATCCTGTGTAGTTCCACTATTGGAAGTGGTGGTACACAGGAGCAGACATCTACACCCTGTTCTGGAGAGGAGGAAGGTAAATGGGAGGAGACCATGGGGTAGGTCACACCTCTGGGAGGGATAAACTGACACAGCTGCATAGCGGGACTGCAGGGCGCCATGTAATGGAGACACAGGGCTACCGTTACACCTGCATACACAGCAGTCCATGTTTCAAAAAGACACTATAGGCTGATCGCCAAATGGCAAGAGAAATTTGGAAGAAGACTAAGACTGAGGGCATGAGTTGGCTCAGAACAAGAAGGAAACAGGCCCGCGGTGGAAGCGCCCTACCTTGGGCCTTCCTTTGCTTGTCTGTAGGAAGCCAAGTTCTAGGTCAATTTAAGTCTGACCTAGTTTGGAGTTTTTGCAGTAGCACCTTACCAAATCTCCGGGAGTAGAGCTAGTGAAAAGAGCCTTCAACGTTTTGTTTTGGGAACAGTAAAATGGTGAGCATACTGGAACAGGTTTGCGCCCAGTCCAGTAGATTAACAATGAATGCAGTGACCTCTTAGCATCCACAGGAACTGGTTTTAAGAGCAAACTCTGTGCCCTCAAGTACGTATTTAAAATGTCATTATTATTTGCATGTAACCTGTACACATCTTTAGTTTTGATCATCTCTAGAATACTAATATCTAATGCAATGTAACTGCTGTTTAAATCGCTTTATATTGTTTAAAGAACAATGACGAGAAAAGCCTGTATGTGTTCATTACAGATGAATTTTTCTCCAAATATTTTTGACTTATGCTTGGTTGAATCCACAGATGAAGAAGACCCTATAGACACAAAGTGAATGGTGAATATGACTTTAGTTATTCTAACATGCAAAGCCAGTAGGTCCTTGAAAAATCCAGTAGGGCTCTGTGGGAGTTCCCCTCAACCTGCAAGCTGCAGGTAAACTTGTTCTCAGCTCCTTTGGGGACTTGGTTAGGCTCTGCTCACTATACCGCATTCCCTTCTATTCTTTAAAGCAAGCGGCTATGCTTGAGACCCATGAAACAGCTCTGAAACCCTCTGCCTCCTCCTGAAGTGTGCGAATGGCAAAGCAGCTTCGTAGATAGGTCAGTCCAAAGACCAGCTCTGGCACCTGGCTAGAGCATTCTCAAAGGAAGGTTAGTGCCTGGAAGAGGCGCTGCCTCTCATGTGGAAGGTCATAAAACAACCAAGGAGCACCTAGAATGACTTCCTCAAGTGTACTTGAACAAAGGATGCTTGTTGCACCTTTGTTTTACATAGTAGTTAATGGGGATGCTAGGGGAGGTAATTTCTTAAGAGATTGTGACTGTAGAGATGGGTAATTGAAAAGACACAGAAGCTCTGTTGTTTCTGTGTTTCTGAAAAGATAGTGTTTTGTCCTTTGAACTGGTGTCTCTCTGATAGTAGATGGATTACACCGATCATCCTAGCTACTTAGGATTCTGAGCCAGCCCAGGCCAAAAATGTGCGAGATTCCTACTCTAAATAACCAGAAAACGAAAGAGCAGGACCCTGGTTGCTCACGCCTGTAATCCTAGCCACTCAGGGGGGCGAGTTAGGAAACCAGTCTGTGCAGGTAAGTCTTTGAGACTTTTATCTCCAATTAACCACCAAAAAAAGCCAGAAGTTGAGCTGTGGCTCAAGTGGTAGAGTGCTATCCTTGAGAAGCTCCGTCAGGGACAGCACCCAGGGCCTGAGTGTCCTGGTGGCCGCTTTGCCTCTGCCCCGTGGCCGTTGGAGGTGTGTACACCCCAGGGTGAATCCCTGGCCAGGCCTGGGCTCAGCTCCCGTGCATCCCATCTGGAGGGCTGTGTTGAAGGGGTTCAGCGTGGGCCTGGCTGGCCCTCTTTGCGCTTGTGCTGCTCTCTGGCCACGGGCAGGGCAGGCGCCTGCCTGTGGTCCAGACCAGCCCGAGTGTTGGAGGAGGCCTGGTGGAGGGACTCAGCACAGAGATGGACTTTCTGGTTCATTCGGCATCTTACAAATTAGAAATGGTGGTCGCCGCAGGATGAACGCCTGTCCTGGACGCGTCTCCTGGTGATTTTGCCACCAGCAGCATTCCAGAGGTAGAGAGTCAGGGACAGAGCCCAGGCCTTGAGTTCAGGCCCCAGGACCAGCGCCAAAACCAAAACAATAATAATAAAACCAAAAAACAAACTCTCTTGGCAACTTTTTTTTTTTGCCAGTCCTAGGGCTTGAACTCAGGCCTGGGCACTGTCCCTGAGCTTCGTTGGCTCAAGGCTAGCACTCTACCACTTGAGCCACAGGGCCACTCACTTCTGGCCTTTTCTGTGTATGTGGTACTGAGGAATCGAACCCAGGGCTTCATGCATGCAAGGTGAGCACTCTACCGCTGAGCCACATTCCCAGCCCTCTTGGCAACTCTTGAAAATGTAATAACTTACTATTGGCGAGAGCCGCCATGCAGTACATGAGGCCTCTGGAGCCTTTTCATTTTATAAACAAGTTTCTGTTCCCTTCACCCTGACCCCAACTTTCCACATATAATTAAAACAAAGGCTTGACAGAACTTGGTGAAGATACATACTTAATAAAAGATTTGCATCCAGAACACATCAGAAATTCTTTATAATCCAGTCACACAGAACTCCAGCCACCAGAGAAACGGGCGTGTGCAGAGGGTGGCTTGAGCATCCCGTGAGCACAGTCAGGCATCTATGAAGTAAGCCAGGATAGAAAGGTAGCTCTAAATGCAGGCTTGACCGTGTATCCCTGAAGTTAAATGGACTTATTCCAAATTAAGAACAAGGAGTGAAAAGCAAAAGAAAATTCTGAGGGTGGGGGTTGGGGGACAGGCCTCAAATTCCAACAGATTTTGAGGAAACATTTAGCGAGGAAACAACCTGGTTTGTTGATGGTGTTGCTACAATATGCCATGACCCCCACTTGGCTGGGTGCCAGTAGCTCATGCCCACAATCCCAGCTGCTCAGGAGGCTGAGATCTGAGGGTTGCAGTTTGACACCAGCCCCAGCAGGAATGTCTGTGAGACTCATTGCCATTAAACTATCTCCCCCTACCCCCCCCCCCCCCACAAAAAAATGCTGGAAGTGGCAGGGTGGCTCGAGTGGTAGAGCATGAGCCAAAGCAGCTCAGGGACAGCGCCCAGGCCCTGAGTTCAAGCACCAGGACCAGCACACACATGAAACGTTGTAGATAACTATCACACTTAATAAAAGGGAGAAAGAAAATTAAGTATCCATCCATCTCTACCTACCTTTACAATACTATGGGGATGACAAGGCTGGCCGATTCTGTCTAATCTCCCTCTAGTACTTTAAAGTCCTAGTCTTTCTCCAAAGTGCGACGCAAGGGTCCCTGGCACCCTACTAACTAACCACATTGGTCATGTGGAGCATGAGCTGGGAATGCTAGAAGCTCCTCTGATGTGTTTGAGGAAGTTATACTCCAGCACAGGCCAGGTTTGCTATCCAAGAAGGGTTTCTCATTCAGCCAGCGCTGGTGCCTGCCCCACAAGGACTCTACCTCAGACGGCATCCTACTGGAAGGTAAAAAACTTCAAATGCAATGTGGGAATAACTCCTAGGACAGGATCACCTGCTGGAAAGGATAAAGTCATCTCTTTAAGAGAGAAGTTAGGGGGATTCTAAATGGAGAGACAGAGCAGATGGCAGCCGGTGCTGGAGGCTGGTGTGGAGTGACTTCTGCAGGCCAAAGAGGAGCGCGGAGAGGAGCCCAGGACGCACCTGCTTCACAGCCTTCAGGACGGGAAGTGTGGGGTTGGTACGGCAGGGTTGTTTTTTCTGGGGCGGGGGGCGGGGGGGAGGCTCCTTGGCTGGGAGACAGCGCCTTGGAACCCTCGCAAGGTCTTTCCTCTGTGTCCTGACCTCTGCGGTGAGAGTCCACCTCAAATTCATTTACCTTGTTTTCCTCCTTAAAGGACCCATCTCAATATACAGCCACATTCAGAACTCCTGGGGGTTAGGACTTTAGTGTATGCATTTTGGGTCAGGGCACAATTCAGCCCGATGTATGGACAGGATTTGTTTTTAATTTTTATTTTTTGAACTTGGCGTCTGAGCCCTGTCCCTTATCTTTTTTGCTCAAGGCTGGCATTCTGCCACTTGAACCACACCTTCACTTCCAGCTTTTTGCTGGTGAATTGGAGATAGGAGTTTCCTATCTCCTATGAAAGCCAGCCTGGGCTGGCTTTGAACTTTGATCATCATATTGCTCCTCCCCAGTAGCTAGGATTATAGGCATGAGCCACCAGCCTGGCCCGCGGCCACGATTTTACATAGGTAGTGAGTGTGAGCGGGAGGCAGAAGTGAGAAGGTGCTGCTCCCTGCTAGGCACCCCGGGAGACCCCGGGGGGCCCCAGGGGCAGTGAGGGCCCAGCCCGCGGGGAGCCTGAGTCTTCCTGGGTCTCTCTGGCCACGGGGCAGAGTGTCAGGGGGCTAGGATCGTGGGTCCAGAGGCAGAAAAATGGCCGTAGGGGGCCAGAAAAGGACAGTCCGGAGAATTTATAAATGAGGGAAGCCTGGGTGGCGTTGTAGAAGGCAACCTCGCCCGCGCCACAGTCCAGGAGAACCCCGACCTGTAGGAAGGGCTCAGGAGGACAGAGGCGGGTCCTGGGGTAGGAGAGAGCCCGGAATCTCTTCCTGTAAAACTCTACTGCCCAGAGACCGTGCTGGGGAGACTTGGGGATTCTCCCTTCCCGGCCCAAACTCTCCAGACACACCCCCAGAATCCAGGCCCTCCTGCTCCCCACCTCAATTTCCCAGTAGTATCTTCCTGCCCAGAATCTCTCCTGGGCCAGGACGCAGGGGTCCTGGTCAAACCTGCGGGGGTTAGGAGGCAGGTCCTGTTCAAAGAGCAGCCGCGCCACACTCTTCTGATCCTCAGACACCATGAGTTTGGGGTTCGCAGTGTCAGGGTCCAGGGATGGGCTCACTGTGGAAAGATTGGAACATCAGGCCCTGGTGCGGCCACACGGGTGGCAGAACCCAAAGCCTGACAGGTGCTTAGCCTCAAGATCTGAGGATTGAAGTTCAAAGCCAGCCCAGGCAGACAAATCGACTCTTCTTTCTAATAAGCCAGCAAAATTCTGGAATAGGAGTTGTGGCTTAAGTAGTAGCATGCCAGTCTTGAGCAAAATAAGCCATGCAATGACATATGTTACTGAGTGCAAGCCCCAATTACTGCGCGTGCGTGCGTGCACGCGCATGCGCGCACAGACACACACACACACACACACACACACACACACACACACACACGAAAATAGGTATTCTCATTTAAAAACATCTTCTGAAGTTTCCCAACACATGGAAAACGATAGGCATTTGAGGAGATGGGAATTCAATTACGCTATAGACATGAATCATCATACTATATGATACGTACATATCACGTACAATTATGGTAAGTACCATGTATATGTAGTTATTTTTTGTTGTTGTTGCTGTTGTTGGTTGTGGGGCTTGAACGCTGGGCTTGAACGCTGTCCCTCGGCTCATCAGCTCAAGGCTAGCACTCTACCACTTGAGCTACAGCACCACTTCTAGTTTTCTAGTGGTCAATTGGAGATAAGAGTTTCATGGACTTTCCTGCCTAGGTTGGCTTCGAACTACAATCCTCAGATCTCAGCCTCCTGAGTAGCTAGGGTTATAGGTATGAGCCACCAATGCCCGGCTCATGTATATATAGTTGCATATTCACTGAAAATCATTTAACTTACCAAAAGTTGCCAAAAAGGGGCTGGGAAGGTGGCTCAGTGATAGAGCGCTTGCCTTGCATGCACGAGGCCCTGGGTTTGATTTCTCAGCACCACATAAGCAAAAAGAAAAAAGCCGGAAGTGGCGCTGTGGCTCAAGTGGTAGAGCGCTAGCCTTGAGCTGAAGAGCTGAGGGACAGCGCCCAGGCCCAGAGTTCAGGCCCATGACCGGACCAAAAAAAAAAAAAAAGTTGCCAAAAAATTGTGTTGAAAACACATACAGCATCTTCCATAAACATAGTGAAGTCATCGAACCCATAAGCTTACTATTGATACAATACTAGTTAGTGACTCTCGTACACCCACTGAGCTCACTCTGATTTGCCAAGTGTCCTTCCCAGTGCCCCCTGCCTTTCTCAAGCTTTGTCTTTCCTGCTCCCTTTCCAAGCAGCTTTTCTCTATGCTTCATGCCCACACGCTTGTGTCCACACTGGACAGCCCTGACATGTCTACCATGCGTAACAGTACCCTCTGGTCTCTCCACACCCCTGTGGTCTCTTCCACATGCAGGACGGTGTCTGTTATAGCCTCTCCCCGCTTTGCTTTCCAAGTCTTAGAATTACAGAAGGAACGAAAGTCTTCCAGAGAAGCTAAAACTTGGCTTTTACTAAGGTGTGGCATTTGATACCACATCAGTGCTGTCTGCAATAGACAACTACCTCATCCACCCACATGAGCACACGTGCGTGTGCTCTACATGAACACACACACAAAGAGGCATGCGCTCACATCTACCCCTGCACACATGTATGCACAAACACATCCAACTCATGAACTGCATGCACTTCAACACACACTTGAACACACTCAGATATATGCGCACATTCATGTGCACACATGCACATACAGATGGCAAAGATTTACACATGGGCCCAATGTATGGACAACTGTGTGCAGAAACACACCTGCATATAACTCATGTGTACACACATATATACATGCTCACACGTGCGTGCATGCAAGATGAGCATGGGAGGCCAGCGAGGGTCTCGATTCACCTCCTTGTGCCGCTAACCCATCTGTCTTCTGTCCCCTTGAGTCTCTCTGGGCTGTTCTTTTCCTCTTTCTCTTCCTTTTCTCTTTCACTCTGAGGTTTGAGTTCACATCTCTTCTTTTCTCTCCATCATACAACAGTACACGATGGGCCAAGGCCAGATCCGCATGCCATGCCCATCCTTTTCCCTTTCAGAGCCACTCTTGTTTCGCGGTCCCAGTGGAGGCCGCTGCCCGCTCAGCCTGTCTTTGAGGCCCCCAGTGGAGGCTGCTGCCTGCTCACCCTGCCAGATGCACAGCCCCGCGGAGCATGGTCAGGAGAGCGGGCCCCATCACAGCCCTGCCTGTGCACGAGGTTGCCTTTTCTGTAACTGGCAACGACACGTAAAGATGTGACGTGTAGAGTTCTGCCCAGACTTTGTAGCTGCACCCTCGAGGCTAGAGCTTTGCTCAGGTTTGAACCTAGGTTGAAGATGGTCCCAGTGTTCGTCATTGGAAGTCTGGTCCTCAGAATTGGGGGTGCTGCCAGTTGTTGGGACTTGTTGGCGATGGGGCCTCTTCAGTGTGTAGTTAATAAGGACATCAGCCCAGGGAGGTAGTGGACTCCCCCAGGTCCCTGGCTGGCTACAGGGCTTGTTATAAAGAGGGAGCCTCGTGTGATCTCTCATACGCATCCTGCCACACGCTGTGTGTCGTGATGAGACCCTCTCAGAGGCTGACCCAGCCAGGCCAGCTGGCCATGACCCTTTCCAACCGAGAGTTAAATCAACCTCTTAAAAAATACATCACCCAGCTTCAGAAATTTGGTTACAGTCATGGGAAAAGTACAAGCAAGGGGCTGGAACTGAGATGTGGGAAGCCAACCAGCCTGCCCAGAATTATCTAGTGAAGACTAACCAGCCAACAGATCTCTCGGAGGTGATAGGTTCTCACTGGATGGCTGGTAATGGGGTCATTCCCCCCCCCCCCCCGTCTTTAAGGGTAAAGGCAGTCTCTGTGTGCTGGCGGGGGGGTGGGGGTTGGCATCCAGGCCTGTTGTTTGAGGGGGCAGACCTGTCTCACAGCGGACCACACTCACCATGCAGTGGCTCAGCCTCAGCTTCGCTGGGGCTGGGTCCCTGCTGCTGATCCTTTGCTCCTTGCTCTGCCTCCTCCTCCAGCCATGTTCTGTGCTCTCTCTGGCGTTTTTTAAAGAGACAGACGATTCCAGCTATGACAAGTCCCAGTGAGATGCAGGTCAAGGGCAGCACTAATCTCCATTCCGTAAAGAGATGCCTGGAGAAGGGGGCTGAGGGCAGCAGGGGAGCAGGTGAGAGAGCGTCTTTCACACTGCAAGGCTGACAGCTTGGAAGACATGGTGTTTACAAACCAGTCTGAAAGGCCCATGAACGCACAGACATTTGAATAGGTATGGTACTTTGGTACCATACATATTCTGAATGTTTATGTCCCATCTCCACAAGTCACATACTGAAATCTTAACCATGAGACGGGGGATTGGGAAGTGGGCCTTTGAACATGATATAGTCATGTGGGGTGGAGCCTCAAGCCTAGCATTGGAGCCCTTATAAAATGGATCTCAGAGAGCTCCTTGTTAGGGTGTAGTGAAAAGTGCTATCTATGACCAGGAAGCAGACACAGTACCTGCTGCCCCTTTACCTAGACTCTGACCTGCATCCAGGGCTGCTGTTTGTGGTTTAATCGCCACCCAGACCCAAGTACGTGTTGCAGCATCAATCAGAATGGAAGAGGACAATTGTGCATATATACAGAGAGAATATAATGATTATATATCTACTAGATATCTACTTATAAAGAGAGACAATGAAATATTAAACTGTGATGATTCGGGTAAAGGATGCATGAACTTCTCTATTATTTCTACAAGTTATTTGTAAGGTTGACATCATTCTGAGTAACACTTCTAATAGGGCAGGGCACTGGGGCTCACTCCTGTAACCCTAGCTATTCAGGAGGCTGAGATCTGAGGACCACAGTTTAAAGCCAGCTTGGGCAGAAAAGTTGCTAAGACCCTTATCTCCAGTTAATCAGCAAAAAGCTGGAAGTGAAGATGTGGCTCAAGTGGTAGAGCATGAGCCTTGAGTGTAAACACCAGGGGAGAGAGCAGGCCCTGAGTTCAAGGCCCAGGACTGGCACAAACAACAACAGCAGTGGACGTTTAATGGAAATTTAGTCAATAAATGACTAAATAAACTGTGCTCCGTTTAGACAGTGAAATATTATTCAGCCATCAAAAGAATGATCTCTCAGGCCATCAAGGAGGGAGCTGAGTGCTGGTGGTTTGTGTCAGTCATCCTAGCTACTCAGGAGGCTGAGATCCGAGGATCACAGTTCAAAGCTAGTCCAGGCAGAAAAGTCCCTATGACATGTTTTTTTTTTGTGTGTGTCGGTTGTGAGGCCTGAACTCTGGGCCTGGGCGCTGTCCCTCAGCTCTCCAGCTCAAGGCTAGTGCTCTACCACTTGAGCCACAGCGCCACTTCTGGCTTTTTTTTTTCTGCTTATGTGGCGCTGAGGAATTGAACCCAGGGCCTCAGGCATGCAAGGCAAGTGCTCTACCACTGAGCCACTTTCCCAGCCTCCCCATGACATTCTTATCTCGAATGAACCACTCAAAAACTGGAAGTAGGGCTGTGGCTCACGTGTTAGAGCTCTAGCCTTGAGCAAAAGAGCCTAGGGACAGTGCCCAGACCCCGAGTTCAAAGCCACATGACTGACAAAAACAAACAACCTCCCCCCTAATCTATTGCATATTTTTAAGAGCAAAATCAGAAAAATGAATACTGAAGCATACCTTGTCTTGTTCCTACAGCACAAGAAAGGTCATGTCCCTGACCCTCATCTTTGACCCAGCTCAGCAATCAATATCCAGACTGTGTCACCGAGTCCCCAGCAGGGCTGTGGACGGGGCCAGCTGACCAGACCCGGCTGCCCCGGGCAGCACAAGCCCCTCCCGCGTCCCCGGGGTGCAGGGCCGTGGGCACGGCGCGCAGTGGGCACGGTGCGCAGTGATTGTGAAGACAGAATGGCACAGAATACTCACAGGGCAGGCGCCTCGCAGCTACTTTACTCTCAGAGAGGAGAGGGTTGGAGATGGAGCAGGTCAGACCGTCTGTAGCCCTGTCCTGGGGGGCTACACTGGACACCACGCCGAAGAGGCCTGTGGCGGCTGAGACCGAGACGCGGGTCACAGCAGGCAGCGTCTGTCCTCTGAGGTCCCTCCACTCCACCCGGGGCTCTGGGTACCAGCCTGCTGAGCTGCACGTTGCCCAGATGCCTTGGTCCTGTTTGTCAATCACTTGGATTTGAGGGGCTGCGCCCAGCCCTGTGGAAAGACATCAGTCAGCTCAAATCTTTGTAGCCACAGCCTCTTCCACTTAAAAGAAAGCTTAAAGAGTTTTAGTAGGTGCTAATAGTGTGTGTGTGTGTGTGTGTGTGTGTGTGTGTGTGTGTGTGTGCGCGCGTGTGCACTCATCAGTCCTGGAGCTTGAACTCAGGGACTGGGCACAGTCCTGAGCTTTTGTGCTCAGGGCTAGTGCTCTAGCCACAGCTCTGCTTCTGGCTTTTTGCTGGTTATTTTGAGATAAGAGTTTCACAGACTTTCCTGCCCAGGCAGGTTTTGAACTGTGACTTCAGATCTCAGCCTCCTGAGTAGCTAGGATGACAGGCGTGAGCCACTGGTGCCCAGTGTAGTACTAACAAATTTTCACCAACTGTGTATCATGACTACTGCAGGACCTTATTATCTAGATGAAAAGAAACAAAACAAACCAGAAAAGGACCAGGAAGACAGATTGAATTTCCTCTCCTATACTAATTGACCAGGATCTGTGTGACCAAAGACCAAGCTCTGAGTCGTTTAGGAAAACTTCTCTTTACACCCCTGGCTTTCTCTCTTTCCCCCATATTCTTTTCGTGTTTTCTTCTTTCCCTCTCTGGGTCTCTGCCCCTGCCTGTCTTTTTTGCTTTTTCTGCTTCTCTATCCTTCCATCTGTTTCATTTGTCTTTGTCTTCTTTCCATGTTTTGTCTCATTTATTATTCTTTGTCTTTCTTTCACTCTTTTTTTGCTTCTCTCTTTCTACCTCTGTCTTTCCAATCCTCTGATCTGTTTGTCTGTCTGTCTCTGTCTTGCTCTGTTTCTCTGTTTGTCTCTGTCTGTCTGTCTGTCTCTGTCTCTTCCTTTTCCTCCCCATAGTCTCTCTTTCCAGATGTAATGGAGGGAGGAAGATGAGCAGGCAGTGGTGCATTGGGAAGTGCATCTTGGGGAGACACGCAAGGTGCAGAGCTTGTGGGAAGTTGGGTCTCCAGCTTTAGAGCTGTGGGCCATGAGGCCCTGAGGTGCGGTGGTTGGTGTGGTGAGGGCCGAAGCCCTGGTGACAGCTCTGGGTGATGGGAGGGCTGCGCTCCTCACCTGCCACCTTCAGCCACAGGGTGGCATGGCTGTAGGATGTGTGCTCCTTGAAAAGGCAGTGGTAGGTCCCATTGTCAAACGTGGTGACGTTGTGTATCCTCACGGCGGCCACACCCCCGTCCAGGCTGTCGCTCACAAGCGCCGTCCTCCCCCGGTACTCCACCATCTGCTCTTCCTGGGCGTCCCTCCCGCTCACCCACACGTGCACGGCTGGCGTGGGCTGCTCCCGGTACCACCTCAGCTCCATGCCCTGGGCGCTGATGCTGGGGGCGAGGCTGCACGGAAGCTCTGTGTCCTCCCCCACAATCGCCAGGACGGGGTCTTGAGGTGCAAGGACACAGAAGTCCGCTTTCCCTGTGAGAGACGGAGCCAAAGGACCTGTGTCAGGCCACGCGTCTTTGTCTTGGGGGGGGGGGGGGTGAAGGTTCTCCAAGCCTGAGGGAGCCTCAGCTCAGCTCAGCTCTGGGCATGTCCCTTCTCGGCTGGGCACCGCCCCAGGGGCAGGGGTGGGGCTGACCTACCGTGGCCAGTGGGCAGCATCTGCAGGAAGAGGAGCATGACGAAGCCTGGCAGAGAGCAGTCTGCACGGGCTGGCTTTGCCATTCCTATTGGAAACACAAGCCACACGGAGGGACATGCCTCAGATGGGGGCGGGGGGCAGGGGGTAGAAGGCACCAGAGGAGTGAAGGAAAAATGACCTTGATAGAGAAAAGCCACTCACTCACGCTGCCATCACGTTACTGATCACAGTAAGAGGACAGCCGTCCACCGGGCGCCATCCTGCTCCCCGTACCCTTGGCTGGAATGGGGTTTGTTTTCTAGCCTGTCTCCAGACTTTACAGTTATGAAACACCAGTGTGCTAGGGAGACAAGCCAAGCTGTGGAAAACAGAACCACACCAACAGCGGCCCTTCGGGAGCACTGCTTTCCTGGAAGAATTGTTACAACACGGAGTGTGGAGGGGGCCAGTCCCGCCCGGACCGCACCCAGATGGGCGTGCGGAGACACTCAGCAAACACACTGGCAGTGTTGTCTGTTTTGTTTTTTTTTTAAGTCACTAACACCTTTTAGTCTTCACAATGATAATCATCAGTAGTTTTTTGTTTGTTTGTCGGTCGTGGGGCTTGAGCTCTGGGCCTGGCGCTGTCCCTCAGCTCTCCACCACCTGAGCCACAGCGCCCCTTCCAGTCACTAGTTTTTAATAGTTATCGTAAGCTCTGTCTGGGGAGAAGGTTTCTGGAAGCAGGGCTGTTAGCTGGGGGGCCTCCCGGACACAGCATCACGTGACTGGCATTGATGTCGGCAAAGGGTTTTGCCTTCATTGGATCTTCCCTCCTGGAGAGCCTGTGGGGTCTCCCTGCCTCGTGAGCGTGAAGGGAGAGGAGAGGGAGCTAAAACACCAGGGGTTTTCGTGAAAGCAGAACACACGCACCTCACTTGAGTCCAGAGGCCAGCTTCCGGGAGAACGTCGGTGGCTTCCGGTGGCTTCCGTCCGTGCACCTTCCCAGCAGGGCATCTCCAGGTGGCAATGTGGGAAGAGAAACTAGAAACCCAGCTCTCTGGGTTTACAGATGCCTTCTCGCTTGCAAAAATAACCAATTCTGACCTTCTGGCAGGTGCAACAGAAAAAAAGTCTCCTAAGAGGTGTGGCCCACATTGCTGGGGGCCGCAGATAACGCTGCTGGTAGGAGAGATAGGGGAGGAGAGTAGGTGCGGTGTCCAGGGCAGGCGGGTGGCAGCAGAGCTGGTTTGGGGCCTTGAGGTTCTAAGGAAGGTGGCAGGCTGAGCCCCGCCGAACACAGATGCGGAGGGAGTCAGACTGAGAACCCCTCCGTCAACCTGGGTCCAGTTCCTTTCAGAACGGCGTTAGGGTAGTGTGGACTTTGCCCTTTCCTTTCCCCTGCCACTCGGTCTGAGGAGTCTGTCCTCCTGGAAGCCTCTGTTGGTTCTTAGAACCAGGACTTGTTTCTCTGCATCCAGTGCCAGTCCTGGGGCTTGAACTCAGAGCCTGGGTGCTGTCCCTGAGCTCTTCTGCCCAAGGTTAGAGCGCTACCACTTGTGCTCCTCTTCCAGCTTTTTGGTACTTGGATGTAAGCATCTCATTTACTGTCTGGCGTGGGCTAGCTTCAAGCAGCCATCCTCGGGTCTCAGCCTCCTGAGGTGCTAGGCTGAGCAGTTGGTGGCTGGCCCATTTTTCTCTCTTACTGACTCAAAGCTTTGGGTATCTTCGGGACAGTGAAGTGTTTCATTTAATTTAGCAGAGAGTACAGGATTCCTCGGGTTCTATCTGCTCAGAGCTGTTGAGAAAATACAAGCTCCAAATCCTCCCTGCATTTCTCCTCATGAGAGGCTTTGATAAGCAAGAAATTCCCTCCCCCTCCATTTCTTTTTACATAACTAAGAATTATGGTGGCTTGTCTTCATCATCCTGTGAACTGCTTTAACTTGGCTCCACATAAAACTCAACTCACACATCCTTAGGTGTCGGGAAAGGAGGATTTAGGTTTTACCAATCTGGAGCCAGGACCTGTATAATCATGATAGGAATAAATAAAATGTAAATAAAAATAAAACTAGGTTGGACTCCAGTGGCTTATGCTTGTAATCTTAGCTATTCAAGAGCATGATAGGGGGCTGGGAAGGTGGCTCAGTGGTTGGTAGAGCGCTTGTCTTGCATGCCTGAGGCCCTGGGTTCGATTCCTCAGCACCACATAAGCAAAAAGAAAAAAAAGCCGGAAGTGGCGCTGTGGCTCAAGTGGTAGAGCGCTAGCCTTGAGCTGAAGAGCTGAGGGACAGCGCCCAGGCCCAGCGTTCAGGCCCCACGACCAGACCTCTCCCCTACACCCCCCCCCCCAAAAAAAGAGAATGATAGATCTGAGGATTGAGGTTTGAAGCCAGTCTGGACAAAAACCCCGTGAGTCTTTCACCTCGAGTTAGCTAGCAAAAAGCTTGAGTGGAGGTATGGTTCAAGTGATAGAAGGCCAGATTTAAGCAAATAAGCCAAGAGAGAGCTTGAGAGCTTGAGTTCAAGCCACAGCATTGGCACAACAAGAAAAATAAATACAACCTGAGCCAAGTACCAGTAGCTGCCTGTAATCCTAGCTACTCAGGAGGCTGAGATCTGAGGATTGTGGTTCAAAGCCAGCTCAGGCAGGAGCTGGAAATGGAGCTATGGCTCAAGCGGTAGAGTGCTAGCCTTAAACAGCAAAGCTCAGGGACAGCACCAGTTCCTGAGTTCAAGCCACAGGTCCAGTACAAAAACAAGGCAAAAGTAGAACCACCATAGGATCCAGCAATCCCACTCTTGGATATGTCTGTGTGTTCAAAGGAAGGGAAAGCTGGGTGCAGGTGGCTCACACCAGTAATCCTAGCTACTCAGGTGGCTGAGATCTGATTGTGGTTCAAAGCCAGCCTGGGCAGGAGACTCCATGAGCCTCTTATCTGCAATAAATTACTCAAAAAAGCCAGAAGTGGTGCTGTGGCTCAAGTGGTAGAACACTTGTCCTGAGCAGAAGCAGCTCAGGGACAGCCCCGGCTCCGAGATCAAGCTCTAGGACCAGCAGAAAAATGAAAAGGAAGTCAAGTGTCAGGGACATTTGCCTCCCACTCATTACAGCAGCACTCGCCGCTGCCTAGTTGTCCACCAGTGGGTGGGTGAATTGCTAGACTACATGGTGCATGTGGACAACGGGAGACTAATCTGCCTCAGAGAACAGTGCAATCCTGCAACAAAATAAATGAAGCCAGAGGACACTGTGTCAGGTAAGAAATCCGGCGCAGAAAGAAAAGTGCCCCATGTCTTGACACAGGTTGACGCTATGGAAGTGGGGAGTGAAATGGCTACCACGCTGTAGGAATAGAAGGGGGTGGGAGGTGGGAGGGGAGAGGGGAGATCGGAGAGGTTGATCAGGAGCAAGACATCCTGGTGCACAATGGTTTAGTGTATCACTACTGATTATAGTTAATGATTTTGTACTGCCTATCTCAAAAAAGAAAGGGTACTGAATGTTTTCACCATAAAAGTATGAAAAATGTTTGAGTATTTCACAACGTGTGTGTGAATGAAAGCATCCCATACGTGCGTACCCCATAAGTGTGCATATTTTTTATGTTCTGATCAAACTGTAAATTTACATAAAAACATAGACGGCTCATAAGATTAGTAAACTGGACAGCATAGGAAGGGGTGAGTGCTGTAAGTCCTATGCATTAGGAAGCCGTCTGAAGGAACCGAGAAGCTTCCAGTGGGTGGTCCTCACGAAGTAGTTGCTCATGCACGGCACAGCCGCTCTTGCTGGAAGCAAGATCCCCCAGAGACATAAACTGCCATTGTGTCTCAGGCATGATTTTAATATTCGAAGGTGGAGTCTTTAACTCCTGTTTCTTGCAGAAGAAGGAAATGCTTTTCTCTCTTTACTTTCTCCTGTTCCTCACACCAGCACCTGGCCTGTCTGGGAGTTTTATTGCAGGGCTCTGAGCTATTTTAAAATCAGCTAAAGGTGCTAACTGCCAAACCCTGGGACTGTCTTAAATGTTGCTGAATTGTGTACTCTAAAATGGTTAATGTATGCCTGGTTCCCGTGGCTCAGTCTATAAACCTAGCGACTCGGGAGGCTGAGATCTGAGGATTAGGGTTCAAAGCTGCCCACAATGAAAAGTCCATGAGATTCTTTTTTTTTTTTTTTCTTTGTCAGTTGTGGGGCTGAGCTCTGGCCCTGGGCGCTGAGTCACCTTCCCAGTCCACCCATGAGATTCTTGTCGTCAATTAACTACCAAAAAAAAAAAAAAAAGAACAAGGAAGCCGTAAATGGAGCTGTGGATCAAATGATAGAACACCAGAAAAAGCCAAGGGAAAACCCCCAGGCCTTGAGTTTAACACACATGCATGCAGTCACACAGATAAATACATGCACTGATTTTATGCTAGTGAATTTCACTGCAATTTAATAAAGTAAAAATGGAAAATAAGAAAAAAAAGTGAAGAAGTAAGACACAAATACCCTTTTACAGCTAAAGTAAGTTTAAAATGTCTTCAAGTGGAGTGTTGGCGCCCTCTGCCGAAATACTCAGGTAAGCGCACGTGGTGCTCCGGGCCTTGGGACCCCAAGCTAAGCTCCCTGTCCTCCTCCTCCCCATTCATCCACCCGTCTCTGCTACCAGGCCCCAAGAAGGTTCTCTTCTTTCCAAGTTTCTTCAAGAGCCTCTGTAAACAGCTCATCAGTTTCCCGTATTCCTCTTTCTGTCCTACTCGTGGGCAGGACCTGGGGACAGATGGAAGAACAAACCACTGTCCTCCGCTTCTCCCCTATCACTGCGTGGACTTATTTTCCGTGGGCTTGGGGTGGTGTGCACAGAGCTCCTGGGTTCTTCGGGCATGTGAGATGACATGTACACAGATGAACAGTAGCCTGTCTGTGTCTCTCTAGGCTTTCCCCACCTGTGCGCATGGCCAGGCTAACAGTAGCTTGTAGCACCGGTCACTGGGTGTTTTGAGTTCCTGGGTATGTAAAATCGCTGTACCTTTCTCAGCAACTCGTGAGGCGTTCTGTGCACATGGCCAGAGGAGCCCTGGCGGGCCGAGCTGCCCACAGGCGCCGCCTGCTTACCTCTCCAGACTTCTCGGCTGGGTCACCTGTTCCCTGCTTGGGAAAGGCTTTCATGGCCCGCACAGTGATGCGAGCCACTGAAGACTCTGGGCTGGCCCGACCGGCTCCTGGGAGGAGTGAGGACCACAGCAGCTGGAGACAGAAGGGCTTTATGACAAGATGGGAGGAGGAAAAGGAAAGACGGAACAGAACTACACTGGACAGAAAGAGGATAAATCACACGGGTTGAGCCATTCTGAGTCCACTGAGAGAAATCGTTGGTAGGCCTTCAGGCTTTTGGAAATCCACTCAAAATTTTAAAGCTACTTCCAGAGGGGGACCCACAAGCCCATAATCCTAGCTATTCAAAAAGTTTAAAAAACAATTCCATTCACAAAAGCCTAACAAAATTAAGCCCTAACAAGGTGCCAGTGGCTTACATCTGTAATCCTAGCTACTCAGGAGGCTGAGATCTGAGGTCGGAGATTGGAAGCCAGCTGTGTAGGACAGTCTGAGATTCTTATCTCAAATTAACCACAAAACAACAACAGGAAAAACTGGAATTGGAAGTCAGGGCCTGTGGCTCAAGCCTGTAATCCCTAGTTATTCAGGAGGCTGAGGATGGCTGTTCGAAGCCAGTTGGGGTAGGAAAGTCTGTGAAACTCTTATTTCAAATTAATCATAGAGAAAACTGGAAGTGGAGCTATGGGCTCAAGGTGGTACTAGTTTTGAACAAAAGGAGCTCAATGAGAGTGTCCAGGATCTGAGTTCAAGCCCCAGGATGGCAAACAACAACAACAACAAACAGAAATAAACAAAACTTTAAGTGGAGCTGTGGTTCTAGTAGTAGAGCATTAGCCTTAGGCACAAAAGTGCAGGAACTGAGCCTAGAGATCAAGCCCCAGGACTGGCACAAAAAATAAAAATAAAAACCTAGGAATGAATCTAACTAAAGAAGTAAAAAACATCTATAATGAACTCTACTGAACACTGAAGGAAATCCTAGAAATTGGAAGGATTGGAGAGAACTTTCATGTTCACAGACTGACCTTTCATTGCTAGACTACATACATCAAGCTACAGATTTAATGCAATCCCTATCAAAATCCCAATGTCATTCTTCACAGAAATAGAAAAATCAACCCTAAACTTTTTTTTTTTGGGTCCGGTCGTGGAGCCTGAACTCTGGGCCTGGGCGCTGTCCCTCAGCTCTTCAGCTCAAGGCTAGCGCTCTACCACTTGAGCCACAGCGCCACTTCCGGCTTTTTCTGCTTCAGTGGTGCTGAGGAATCGAACCCAGGGCCTCAGGCGCGCGAGGCGAGCGCTCTACCACTGAGCCACTTCCCAGCCCCGGCCGTTTGGTTTTTGACGGAGGTGCCAGAGCCCTGCACTGGCGGCGCGGACGGCGCTGGGAGACGGGACGCCCAAGGCGGAGGCCCGGCGCTGGCTGCTCATCCCTCCCCTCTAGGAACGCGGGCCGGAGCTCCGTGCAGCTTCAGGCCGCAGACCCGCGGCCGTCGGGGCGCGCGGGGCCCTGCAGGCGGCCCGGCGAGGCTTTCCGGCGGGGCCTGGGGGGGCGCGTGCACGGCGGGCCGCGCGAGGACTCGGGGCCGGGGGGCTCCGCCGGGGCGGGCCCGGACGCGGGACCCCGGGCGGCCTCACCGAGCCGCGTCCGCAGGGGTGCGAGCCCGGGCGGCGCAAGTGGGGGACTCCCGCCTGGGCTTCTAGATGCTTCCACGCCGGGACCTGAGATCCACGGGGAAGTCCTCGACACCTGCGCACGCATGCGCACACAGAGCCGGGCGCTCCGCCTCTTCAGGAGGCCGACTTTCCCAGGCTCGCCGCCAGTGACCCGAGCCTGGCCTCTGACCTCTGACCGAGTCGGCTCTTCCACCGGCCACGCGGCGAGCTGCAGGGGCATGCAAAGGCTCTGGGGAAGGGCTAGCTGCCGGCCGCGTCCCGGAGCAGCTCCCCGCTTCCCGCCGTCGCGGCTCCGTGTCAGGGCTGCAGCGCGAGCGCGGCCAGGCAGGCAGGCGCGAGGCTGGCAGCCCCGCGGGGGCCCGGGCCGCCGGCGTCCGCGCGCGGCAGTCAGGGCGCCACGGGGCGGGGCCTGGCGTCCCGCCCAATCAGGCGCGGCCCCGGGCGGAGGCGGGCTCCGGCGGTCTCGCGGGTCTTTGTGTCGGAAGCTCGCCATCTTGAGGCGCGGCGCCGGGCGCACGTGAGTGACGGCGGCTCGGCCGGTGGCCGCGGCTCCCGCAGCCCGGGCGGAGCGGGCCGGGACGCCGGAGCCGGGGATGGTGAGTGCCGCCCGGCCCCGGGGCGCTGGCTGGCAACGGGCGGGAGCCGGCCCTCCCCGCGGCCGGACCCGGAGCCCCGAGCCGAGCGCCGGCACCGCGGGGTCCCCGGCCGGGGGCGAGGGGATCGGGGGGCCGGGGCCGGCACCGCGGGGTCCCCGGCCGGGGGCGAGGGGATCGGGGGGCGAGGGGACCGGGGCCGGCACCGCGGGGTCCCCGGCCGGGGGCGAGGGGATCGAGGGACGAAGGGGCCGGCACCGCGGGGTCCCCGGCCGGGGGCGAGGGGATCGGGGGGGCGAGGGGACCGGCACTGCGGGGTCCCCGGCCGGAGGCGAGGGGATCGGGGGGGGGGGCGAGGGGACCGGCACCGCGGGGTCCCCGCCGGCGGCCCGCCTCCCGCGTCCGCGACCGGAGGCCAGCACGGCCCGACACCGCCGTTAGCAGAAAAGCAGTCTCCGGCCGAGGGGACCCCGGCCGCCCCTCCCAGCCACCCAGCCAGCCAGCCACGGAACTTGAGCGCTGGGTGGCAGGGTGCGCGTGCGAGCGTGCGTGCGTGCGTGCGTGCGAGCGTGCGCCCCCCCCCCTCCCCGCCGGGGTTTGAACTCAGGCCCCGCGCCCGCCCGCAGCCAGCCCCAGGCCGGCCTTCGCGTCCGTCACGGAGGCGTGTCTGCCTGCGCCACCCTTACCTTGTGCTGCCTTTGGGGACGCTTGTGATGGCTGAAGATTTTCTTTTTGGGGTGCTCACTAGACTGGCCCGCGCTGCTCGGCCTCCTGCAAGCCCTGATTTCCGTGGCTTGTTCTTAGGGTAGAGCCTCATTCCTGTCCAGGGGCGCATCTGCCCGGGCGGCACCTGCTTGGCAGGCCGCTGTCCCCAGGCCCCTTCGTCTCGCTCCGCCTCTCTGTCCGGGGGGCTTGGCAGCTCCTCTCCTGTCAGCTTCCCATGAACAGGACTGTAAGAAGGAGGGTGAGTGAATGTTCTGCCCAGGCCTGCTTGAACCTCCCAAATAGCTAGAATTACAGACATGGGCTATAAAGATGGTTGTGCTCAGGTTGCAGGAGCTTGGCCTTTTGCTTCATTAAATGTGCGTTAGGTTTTTTTTTTTTTGCCAGTCCTAGGACTTGAACTCAGGGCCTGGGCGCTGTCTCTGAGCTCCTTTTGCTCAAGGCCAGCACTCTATCACTTGAGCCACAGCACCACTTCCAGTTTTTTCTGAGTCCTGTGAACCCAGGGTTTCATGCAGGCTAGGCAAGCACTCGACCACTGAGCCACCTTCCCCGCCTGTGCATTAGTTTTAAAAGTCAGGTTGTCAAGTAGCTGCAAGCATGTTCTAAATCTGTCTTGTAATCAAAGGGATCTGTGTTTTTTTACTTTGTCTAGATTGCTCTGGAGTTTATAAAAGTCTATGGTTTGTACACCCATTTTAACCATTCACAAGTGTCATATTCAATGACATTAAGTATCTTCAAATTTTCAGCTATCTCTGTCACTAAGTCTGTAAGAAGACTTATGAAATTACAAATGAAATTACACATGAAGTAGTAAATCTGATTCTTTGCATTACTGTTTTTCTTCTTCAGTACTGGTGTTTGAATCTAGAGCCCCCTGTTTGCTACACAGACTCTTTACCTGTGAGTCTTGCCTCCAGCTCTCAACTTTGTCTCTATGGTATTTGTCTTCTGTAAGGATGTTACAAAAATGTCATTAGGCAATACTTGTTCTCTTGTGATTAACTCATTTTATGTAGCATACTAGCTCCGTTTAACTGTTTAAAATGTTCAAACACAAAATTTGCTCAATTCTTTGATAAAAAGTAGCCATGGTGAATAATGGCATTACATACTATGTACAAAAATCTGTTTTAGTCTTTCAACTTATTTTGTGTAGTGCAGCTGGTGGATTTAGGACAGTTCTTCGTAGTCATGTTTTCAGAAATCTCCATACATCATCTCCACTCCTGTTTCCACCATTTCACATTCCCATCATCAGTGCATTGGTGAACCATTTACTGCCAGTGCTGGGTTTGCTATTTTTTTTCTTAAGTCCTTTGTAATGTATAAATGTATTTTATTGGGTTTATATCTTGAGAAGTGTTAGTAATTTCAATAGTTAATAATTTTGTAGTCAAAATTATGGTTTATTTCTATGAAAAAGCATCTAAAGTCAACCATGGAAACAGGACCATATAGCAGTGTCTGGGGTTGTACATGTTAATTGTGGTGTAACCCCACACACATCTCAGAATCTCAGTGCTTTCAACAAAGATCTCATAGTAATGAAATTTGTTTTTTTCCTCATTTTTTGATTGACTTTGAAACTTTGAACTTTATATGCTGCAGATATTAAAAGGATGCTGGATTTGGGAGAACAGAAATATGACCTATCACATACTGTTTAATTTTCATTAGAAATTTTAAATCAGCTGTCCATATGTAAGAATGTGATGTTTCTATTCATATGTAGTATTTACTGACTAAAGAGAATTGATGTCTTTATGATGTAGAATTTTATTGCTCATGAATATGGTACTCTTCATTAGTTCTTTTTGCATCCTTAACTTTTTTCCACCTTAAACTGCATAAATTATTAGGTAGTTTTTCGTTTGTTTGGTATTGCATGAAAGTTCTAATCTACAAGAAGAATTTAATGTTTTTCCTCCCTTTTTATTAATTGTATTTAGTATTTGTGTGGTACTGAGAAATTGAACCCAGAGCCTCACGTGTGCTAGGCAAGCACTCTACCACTAAGCCACATTCCCTGCCTTCCTCCCACCTTTTTTTGGTCACAGGGCTTGAACTCGGCCGAGGTGCTATTCCTGAGCTCTTTTGCCCAAGGCTAGTGCTCAGCCACTTTTGAGCCACAGCTCTACTTCCTAATACATTTCATAGTCTGTTAATTTATCATGTTTTCCAATTGGAAATAGGTTTCAGGAGAATTTTTAGATATAAATTATTAATCAAATCACAATTTTGGTTTTGACTTTATTTTAGTTTGAGTTAAATCCTTTTAGTAATAAATCTATAAGCATCATTTGTGCGTTTGTGGATTTTTGTTTTTTTGAGGCAGGGTCTTGCTCAGTAATGAGTCCAGGTTAGTATTGAACTTGCCATCCTCCCACTTACCCTTCTCCTGTGCTGGTTTCTATTGCCACGCCTGGAAAAACGGAGCTTTTTTTATCCTTCCAATTTCTTTTGGTTCGTGTGACTTGAGCTCAGGTCCTGGATGCTGTCCCTCAGCTTTTGCTCTCAGGGCTAGTGCTGTACCACTCTTAGCTCTACTTCCATTTTTCTGGTAGTTAACTGGAGAACAGATGAGAACCATCAGCACAGTGCCAGGCTCTGAATTCTCTTCCAGGTTTTTTGTTTTTTTTTTTTGACAAAAGGCTCGTATTTTTAAAAATGCCTTCTAAATGTCTTAAGTGGATGATCCCATTTTTTTCTTCATAGAGCTATGGATACAAAGAAATACTTTTTAAAAAACTTAAATGGAGACTTAATGTACCTTAAACATTTTTTAAAATAAAGGTGATGTACAGAGGATTACAATTATATAAGTCAGGTAAACATTGGACAATATTACCCCTTCCCTTGCTCTCCCAAAAATTCCCTCCTCATTGTTTTTTTTAAATACTGAACTTTTATTCATTCCTAGACTATTAAAGGCCTTTCTCAGGTCCATAGTCTGTTTCTCTTTCTCAATTATTGAACAAATTTTGTACTTTTCTATTTTTTATAGCTTCAGCTATCCAATCATGTTCTGTTGCTTTCTAAAATCTTCATCTTCCCATTAAATTTTTCTTCTGAGATCTAGATCATGTATTCAGGGGCCAGTTCAGCATTTCCACTTACTTGAACACATTGTTTGTTTTCCCCAGATTTTAGTTTACAACATTAGCTGTCATTCAAACAGCTTAGAAATAACTTCAATTTTTGCTCTAGTGACAGCAAACGAATATTAAATTCTAATTATTACTATTTTTCCTTCTGTGTCTAGGTTGAGATCTCTGTTTTGTATTTGTGTGTTATCCTGGTTCTTTTGTTCTCCCTTAAGTTTTATTCCATTCTTTTATAGGATGACTTACATAATGCAGATCTGGCTGGTGGTGTGGCTCAGTGGAAAGATGCATTCTAGGCCCAAGGCCTTGATTTCAAATCTCAGTACTGTCAAAAAAAATGAAGGTCTGTTCGAGTAACTAGTTTTTATTACTCTCCCCCTCATTGTTTATATCCTGTTTCAGGAAGTTATTGACCACCTTTTGTGGATAATGGAAATTTTGGATTTCAGAGGGAAATACAAATTGCTTATAAATATAGTTTACTAGTACCAGTAAGCAAATGGCATTTCTTAGAATTGGATTAAGCTTTTAAGTGGAAAAAAATCAATTGTTACTTAAACATATTATCTTCATCACTCATCACAGTATATAGGACCCTCCTCTAGGTGGATTCAACCTATTTCTGGCTCCACTAATCTAGTCTGTGCTTTAGTGCTTTTGCACTTTGAAATCTCATATTCAGGAAGACACATTCATGTGGAATGTCTGAACCTCTTCATTTCAGTGAAGGATACACCTGATGATACAGTGTAGTCTTGTTTTCTTCCTTATTTTACTATGTTCTACACTGAACACGAAACCTTGTGTGTATCTCGTTTGTTCTTAAGGCTTCACAGTAGATCATAGTTCTTTTCATTCATATTTTCTGCTAGGAACAATAACAGTTAAGGAAACTTCTTTATTATTTTATAATTACTAAATAAATGCAGAAGCAAGTTCATTTTATTCTTTCCCCCTTGCACCCCTCTGGTGGTGCAAATCAAGCTGCATCTTAGGTAAGACATGTTCACACAGAATGAAAAGGTTCCTGGGTTAGGTTTTTGTTTTTTGTTTTAACCAGAACTGAAGGATTTGGATGAGGAGAAATGTTTCGTTACAGGGGTTCGTGTCATTTGAGGATGTGTCTGTGGATTTCACCTGGGAGGAGTGGCAGAACCTAGATGATGCTCAGAGACGGCTCTACAGGGATGTGATGCTGGAGACATACAGCAGCCTGGCGTCCTTGGGTGAGCACAAGAAACACTGTCTTTGTTGATAAATACAGAAACCACTTCTATGATCTAATATACCTCTTTATTATACTGAAGTGACACCTATTTACTCGCACCTATTTATGGAATTCAGGTTGTTTCAGTGTACAATACATGGAAAATGTATGAACTGAGACATGGCACTTCTTTGTATTGGGATCTTTTAAAAATCCTTGTTAGCTAATCTGAAATGTTGAAGTCCATTGTAGCTAACTATAGTTGTGCTTCTGTAGTATAGAATGTTGGAATTTATTCCTCCGCTCTAGTAGCTATCATCTCTCCATGCCCTTCTTCCACGCACCTTTCCTTGCTCTGGTAATCATTATCATGTTATTTGAGATCAGTTTTATTTTCCATGTATAAGTGAGAATATTCAGCAGTCTTCACTTAACACAATTGCTCTCCAGTTCCATTCATGTTATTGCAAATGAGAAAATTACGTTTTTAAACAAATATAAGATGGTTAATAACTTCTTGTCTACATATGCCATATTTTCTTCACCTGTGTTGTCTTGTAGTGTGAGTAGTACTATAATAAAATTGTAAGTGCAGATAATTTTATTTATTAGTTTATTTTTGCTAGTCCTGGGGCGTGAACTCAGGGCAGAGGCACTGTGCTTGGGCTTCTTTTGCTCAAGGCTAGCGCTTTACCACTTGAGCCACAGCACCACTTTGGGCTTTTTCTGTGTATGTGTTACTGAGGAATCAAACCCAGGGCTTCATGCATGCTAGGCCAGCACTCTACCATTAAGCCACCTTCCCAGCCCTGTTTAATAATGGAGTTTGAACTCAGGTCCCTGTGTCTGCTAAGCAGGTGCCTGGCTTTAAGGTTTCTTAAAATCATTCATTCTTTTGTTTTTCAACCAATTTAAGTCTGTTTAATTGCAAGATTACAGTCCATGATGCCTGTGAAGTATAGACTCTTTCACAAAATATTTCAGTTGGTATTTCCTAAAGTGGAGAGTATATCAGTCTTCAGTACACCTGATGGGGCAGTTTGGCACAAATTTGACATCATTTCCTGTTATTAGGTCATTGTATTGTCAAACCTGAGGTGATCTTCAGGTTGGAGCGAGGTTCTGGGCCATGGATGGTAGAAGCAGCTACAAGCTGGAGCTACACAGGTTAGTAAATGCAGCAAGCAAGGAGAGGCCATCAAATATCGGTCATGCTGAACGTTTTTCATCAGTAGCCACCTCCAGCTCCCCATCCTCACCTCCGGTTCCTGTCCAGAGGAGAGCGATCTTACATATTGTATGTTTTAGTGTTTTATATGTATATGTATGTACGTGTCTGTGTGTGTGTGTGTGTGTGTGTGTGTGTGTAATGTATTGCAAAAGCCTAATCAGCTTACATTTACAAAAATTTGAAGTTGTATCCATTTTACACTTTTTTTTTCTTGGTCCTGAGACTTGAACTCTGGGCCTGAGCGCTGTCCCTCAGCTCTTCAGCTCAAGGCAAGTGCTCTACCACTTGAGCTACAGTGCCACTTCCAGTTTTCTGGTGGTTTATTGGAGACAAGAGTCTCACAGACCTTCTGCCTGGGCTGGCTTTGAACTGCATTCCTCCGATCTTAGCCTCCTCTTTTTTTTTTCTCCCTATTTTTATAGCTTATTTTTCCCCATGAAGAGTTTTTGATTTTTGGTTCTTTCTGTTGTTGGCATTTGATTGCCTTCTATAAACTAGTCATTTTAAATTACGTCACACACCTTAAAGCACTCACATTTTGTTGAGATTAAAAATGAAACAAATACATACTTTTTTGTTTTTTTTTTTTGCCGGTCCTGGAGTATGAACTCAGAGCCTGGGCAATGTCTCTGAGCTTCTTTTGCTCAAGGTAGCACTCTACCCATTGAGCCACAGTGCCTCTTTTGGCTTTTTCTGTTTATGTGGCACTGAGGAATTGAACCCAGGGCTTCATGCGTGCTACACAAGCACTCTGCCACTAAGCCACATTCCCAGTCTACATATAATATTTGATAGTAAGGTAAGAATTATGAAGAATGTTTTACCAAGGTGAAAGGAAAAAAAAGGCAGTTTTATTATTTAAAAAAAAAGTCTAAAGGGAAGCAGTTTTAGTAAGTTTAATAAGATTATTATTCACTTAAGATGACTATTTTAAAAATTATTGGCTGGGAAGGTTGCTTAGTGATAGAGCGCTTGCCATGCATGCATGAGGCCCTGTGTTCCATTCCTCAGCAACACATAAGCAGAAAAAGCTGGAAGTGGTGCTGTGGCTCAGTGGTGGAGTGCTAACATTGAGCTGAAGAGCTGAGGGACAGTGCCCAGGTCCAGAGTTCATGACCAACAAAAAAATAAGAATTATTTTTACTTTTGCCTGTCTTGAGGCTTGAACTCAGGGCCTAAGTGCTGTTCTTGAGTCCCTGGGACTCAAGGCTAGCATTCTACCACTTGAGCCACTTCCCATTTTTTCTCAGTAATTTATTGGAGATAAAAGTCTCATGGACTTTTCTGCTCGGGCTGGCTTTAAACTGCAATCCTCAGAACTTAGCTTCCTGAGTAGCTAGGATTACACGTGTTAGACACCAGTGCCCAGCTAAGATTACTGTTGTCCAAATTTGATATACAATATGTATGTGAATATAAAATTTAGTCACAAGTGAACATGATTGTAATGAATTAAATGCCAGTATTTATAGTTTCTTCAGGCAGTTACCTAGGAAATTGATAAGACCATGGCAAAACAGGTCTAGAATTTTGGTTTATGGAACACAGCATCATAGATTGAGAAAGTGACAAGTACACAACATGGGAGCATCTTGGATTGTGAAGGACAAGTGAAATAAAGGTTTGATGTTGAAGCGTTCTGATTTACGTATAGGAATGGGATTAGAGTTTTCATTTCCTCTTCTCTATGGAAGTTATTGAAAGAACAAAGAAAATAAATTTATATAGTTGACTATCCAGGAACAGAACAGCTAACCATGTTAACTTTGCTAAAGCAGGTTACTATGAGAATAGCCTTTTTTTTTTTTTTTTTAAATCAAAGTGTGTTACTTAAAATGTCCTGTTTTGGCCTGGTGGCTTGCCTCTTGTTAAGGAAAAGAGGGACTTCTTTGGGATAAGAAACAGTTTTTGAAATGTAAGGTCTTGTCAAACTTGTTTCTTCAATTTATTTTTTATTAGTTGTGGGGCTTGAGCTTGACTGGGCACTGTCTTTCAGCTCAAGGCTAGCACTCTACCACTTGAGCCACAATGCCACTTCAGTTTTCTGAGTGGTTTATTGGAGATAAGAACTCATGGACTTTCCAGTCCGGGCTGGGTGAACCAAGATCCTCACATCTCAGCCTCCTGAGTAGCTAGGATGACAAGCCACTGGCTCCTGGCTTCAATTTTTGTTTTAAGAACACTTTTTTTTTTTCTTTCATTTTTTTTTTTGGCAGTCCTGGGGCTTGATCAGTGCTTGGGCACTGTCTCTAATAAGCTTCTTTTGCTCATCACTTCTGTCTTTCTGAGTAGTTTATTGGAGATAAGAGTCTCCGTGCCTTTCTTCTAAGGACTGGCTCCAAATACAATCTTCACGTCTTAGCCTCCTCAGTAGCTGGGATTATAGGCATGAGCCACCTATATCCTTATAATTGGAGCCTATATCCTTGTAATTGGAAGCTAACTTGTGTTTGAAAAACCTTATGTTTCTACTGCAGTTCTTCAGGGAAGAGTGTCAGCCCTTTTTCTAAATTGTGTTCCTGCTCAGTGAGATACAAACCTTACATCTTAGATAGTGAATCTAGGAAAACAGAGTAACAGCAACCAAAAAAAGCGAAATAGAGGTTTACCCAGAGATTTACCATTGTAGTGAAACCTATTTTAATTAAATATCTTAACCATTTTTCAAAATAATATAACCACCCAAAGTAACAGTAATATGATTTGATACTATAAAATCAATGAATGTAATTTCTAATATTCATTATTGACAAAATCCACACATATTTTGAATTGTCTTTGGAAATCTTAGGTCATTAGTGTAGGAACCTTCTTCATTTTTATATTTGAATTTCTTAAAAAATGTTCATCTGTTGATCATGAATACAGCTCTTTGTATTTCATTTTAGATGTCCAGAAAGAGAATGGCCTGAGTGAGACCAGCCATGAAAATCAAGAGAGAGGTTTATGGCAACTTACAGTTACCAGCAACAGCACATCAAAAGAGAAGGATGAATTCAGAAAAATATTTAATGGGAACTCAAACCATGTTTCAAGTCTGACTGTAAAGAATAAAAAGCTTTCAGGAGTGACGCCCAAGACACTTGATATATGGCAAAAGGTGCATCTTTCTAGTAAGTCTGGTGAGGTGCAGGCTGGGGAGGAACCTGATGGCCTTCATCAGCCTTGGAAGGCCCTCAGACATTCTGAGCATCTTCGTGTGCCTAACACAAGTCAAGGTATGCAAAAGAACTTACAAAGAAAAGCTTGCAGCATGAAGGCACTGTGGAGACATAAGAGGCTATATACAGGACATACCTCTACTAAGGGTGCTGAATGTGGAAGGTCCTTTAATAAGGTAGCACATACTACCCAAGAGGTGATTCAGGCAAGAGAGGAAACTTTTAGATATAATATATATGGGAAAACACTATATGAAAAGTCTAAACATACTAAACGTGAGAAAAGATGCAAGGGTCAAAAATATGAATGTAGTGATTGTGAGAAACTTTTTATTAAGAAATCAAACCTTATAAAACATCAGAGAACACATACAGGGGAAAAGCCCTATAGATGTAATGAATGTGGGAAATTCTTCTGTCAGAAGATACAACTAACTGTACATCGAAGAAACCACAGAGGAGCAAAAGCCTATGAAGGTTATGAGTGTGAAGAAAACTTTAACCAAAAGCAAAACCTCACCAGACATCAGAAACCTCAGACACGTGAAAAACCCTATGGATGCAATTTATGTGGAAAATCCTTTTATCGGAAGTCACACCTTTATAGGCATCAGAGAGTCCACACAGGGGTGAAACCCTACAAATGTATTTTTAAGGAATGTAGAAAAAGTTTCTTCCATAACTCATCTCTTATTATACATCAGAGAACTCACACAGGGGAGAAGCCCTATGAATGTAAAAAATGTAGGAAAACTTTCTACTCTAAGTCTGACTTGAATGTACATCAGAGAACTCACACGGGTAATAAACCATATGCATGTGAACAATGTAGGAAAACTTTTTACTCTAAGTCACACCTCAGTATACATCAGAAAATCCACACAGGTGACAGACCGTATGCTTGTGAAGAATGTAGGAAAACTTTCAACCGTAAGTCGAATTTCACTGTACATAAGAGAACTCATGCAGGTGATAAGCCCCATGAATGTAATACGTGTGGAAAAACCTTTCATCGGAAGTCACATCTCCACATGCATCAGCGAACTCACACTGGTGAGAAGCCACATGCATGTAAAGAATGTAGGAAAACCTTCTACCAGAAGTCTAGCCTTATCAGGCATCAGATAATTCACACAGGTAGCAAACCATATTCCTGTGAGGAATGTAGGAAAACTTTCCTACATAAGTCGTCCCTGACTGTACATCAGAGAAGTCACACAGGTAATAAACCATATACATGTGAAGAATGCAGAAAAGCTTTCTACTCCAAGTCACATCTCACTGTACATCAGAGAATTCACACAGGTGAAAAGCCCTATGAATGTAAGCAATGTACAAAAGCCTTTTACCAGAAATCACACCTCAGCAGGCACCAGGTAACTCATGGAAATGAGAAACAATTTGAATGTAAAGAATGCTTGAAAACTTTCTATCATAAGTCAACTCTCAAGACACATCAGAGAATTCATATGCGAGAGAATCCTGTAATAACGTTGTTTGAATGTGAAGAATGTTTGAAAACCTTCCACCATAAGTCATCTCTCAAGCTACATCAGAGAATTCATATGCGGAACAATTCTGTAAAAAATACGGGAAACACTTTTGCACAAGCCATCTTTACCAGCAAGTTCACGTAGGGGAAACATCCTAAAATGACGGGAAAATTTGTGAGAAGGCATATCAGCAGGTGTCAAGGGACTGGCACGGGTGGTCGTGCACAGCATAGAGCTGCTCATTTCACTGGGACACAGCTCTGCTTTTTTTTGGTTTGTTTGAAGGACCATGTACAGTGGAAATAGGTGCATGTAGTGATCATTCATATGGCCCATATAAATGCTTCATTAAGTTCTTTCTGATGAGCCCTGGCCTGAAGTCAGCAAGACCCCTAGACTGGGCCAAATGGAAGGTTGTGATTTAAGATGAACGTAACTAAAGAGCAAAGATCTTCCATCTCTGTCTGCTTAGTTTACACATGAGAAGTGCCCTGTTGAGCCATTGTATTGTTTGCATTGCAATGTAAACCCAGTGTCGCTCACGTTGCAAAATTGTCACAAGGGAGAAACTGCTTTTACCTTTTATTCTGAAGTCACTTTATGAAAAACCATTATGTGAAGAAGTACCAATAACGAGTATGCCTTATAATGCAATTTTAATACATTGAGTAAATGAAGTCTTCATGAGTCACTCTAATATGTGAGAATTTTCCACAAATCTTTCTCGACTTCTTATGTTTCAGTAATTTGTATTGAAGCAAAACTACGTGTCAGTAATTTTGATGGTAATTTTTAAGTGGAAGTGTTATAGTATTGGAAATTATTTTAAAAAGTATCCAATTGTATACCAATAAATGAATATATTGCCACTCAGTATATTGGGTTGTATCTTGGAACATTTGTGGAAGTCATGAATGCAGGGTGGAGTCACTGTTGGCATCTAGTGGGTAGCAGCCAGCCATGCTTTTAAACAACTTCCAGTGTACAGAATATTAATTCAAATTACATGATTTGTGTATGTGAACATTTTGTATAAAGAGAAATAACTTTCAAGAGTATGTGCACTTTGTAGTTGGAATTACATAGTGACTGAGCCTGAGATTGTATCTCTGCAATAGAATACAAGTTTGTCATGCATGAGGCTCTACTGTTTCCAGCATAAATACATGTATATATTATATATAAATATATGTAATGTGTATTATACATGGGAGATGTGTAGTGTGACATTGATTTTTCACTGGCCACCCAGTGGTACATGCCTGTAATCTTAGCTACTCAGGAATCTTAGTCCATGCAGTTGGCTAACAGTTCTTCACTCAGAGCATCTGAGGCACAACAATCAATTAGGACACCAAATTTCCCTAGCCAGCTTAGTTTACATAAAGACCAAAAGGCATGTTTGTCATTAACAGTTAACAGTGCTTGAAAGTTCTCTAATCTTCTGCCTAATTGTCCAGGGAGAAGCAGGTCCCTCAATCTGTCTCTCAGGGAAAGCAAATACCATGTGAGGTTATGGAATCACAGATAAATAGACACAAGAGAAGGACAGAAAAGGTAGTGGAAGGTGAGCTCCAGGAGAGGATTCCTTAGTGGAGAACGATCATGGGAAACGGAAGCAGAGACTCCACTAGCACAAACGTCAGGAGCTTCCATGGTGCCATTTGTGCCACCTTCCGCACAAGAACTGCCTGCTCTGGCACACTCAAGGGTACACTTTACTCAAGTGTTTGGACCAGAAACTTCAGTGGGCAGTTGGATACAGAAGTAGGCTGCATTGAGACCATGAGGTTTCTCTCCAGCCTGAACAGTTGTGGAGATGGGTAAGGATGTCAGTTAAATCATAACATGAATGTACTAAATGCCACTGTAGTGTACATGCAGTGAGTTTCATGAAATGCACGTAGGCATGTATAGATAGATAGACAGATAGATAGATAGATAGGCATTTTAATGAGTATGGTTACTTTTATTCCATTTTAGGTGTCCAGAAGGGTAACTTGAATGAAAATTAGGAGAGTAATTAGGAAAGTATTTTGTAATTACGGCAGCATATTAACTGAAGAGAGGGTTAAATTAGGAAAAAAATAAACGGGAATTCAAGCCACAGATAATACAAAATCTTAAGGAATGAGTCCCCAGGGGTTTAATGAATGGCAGAATGTGCTTCTCCTTTGTGAGCTTGAGGTGCAGGCTGGAGGGAAGCCTCATGGTCTCTAACTGGAAGGCCCACACTCGGAGGAACGTCGTAGAGCAAAGTGCGCAGCAACACTTGCAGTGTAGTCTTCAACCTGAAGGCGTTGCGGAACCATGAGAGACTACCTCCAGTAAGCTCAGTGAATATGAGAAAGGGAGGGAGGAAGTTTTTGCAAATGTGTTCTGTACAGCAAGGAGAGGTGTATTACAATAGTGACTGGGAGTTGGCCTTCTTTAAGAAATTACATTTTAGCTGGGTGATGGACGCTCATGCCTATTATCTCAGGATTGTGGCTCAAAGCTAGCCCAGGCAGGAAAGTTCATGAGACTCATCTCCAACTAACCACCAGGAAACTGGAAGTGGGACTGTGGCTCAGTGGGAGAACACTAGCCTTGAGCAAAAAATCTCAGGAACAGAACACAGGCCTTGAGTTCAAGCCCCACTTTCGACCAAAAAAAGAAAAAAAAAATTACATCAGAGAATATCACATGTAGAGGAAAAGCCTTATTGATGTAATGAACTTGTGAAATCATTTGTTCAGAAGTCAAAACTAAATTCATCAGAGAATCCATGGATGGGAGAAACTATATGAAGATACTATCGATAATGTGTGTGTTTACAGTTTTTTTTTTAAAAGAAATTGCACCATGCATCAAAATTTACACAAGTGGGAAACTGAATACAGTATTTCTTGAAATATCTTTAACATGAAGTTAAACCTCCATATACTCAACTCTCACAAAGAGAAGTCCTATGAAAGCAGAGAGTATGAGAGAAACTTTTAAGAATATTTCCTCTCTCCTAGGACATCAGAGAATTCACACAAATGAGCAACCTTATAAATGTAAAGAAGGTAGGAAAACTCAAACAAGTCACACTTCATTTACGTCAGAGAACTCACAGAGGTGGGAAACCCTATAGTGTAATGGATATAGAAAAACCTACTGGAAGATAAACCTCCGTGAACCTCAGAGAACTCATTCAAGTGAGAAACTATGAATGGAAAAAAACGAAGAAAAACTTTCAACCACAAGTTGCCTATCACTGTACTTCAAAGGTAAGAAACTACAAAAATGTAAGATATAGCTGGGCGCTGATGACTCATGCCTGTAATCCTAGCTACTCAGGAGGCTGAGATCTGAGGATTGCTGTTTGAAGCCAGCTGGGCAGTGAGACTCTTACCAGAAAAAGCTGGAAGTGGTGCTGTGGTTCAACATGCATTTTTTGAACACAATGAGATAAAATTAGATGAAAACAAGATAAACAATAGAAATTATACAAATAGGTGGAAATTAAACAAGAAGCTCTTGACCAGAGGGTCAATGAACAAACTAAAAGGTAATTTAAAAAATTGTGGCCAGGCGCTGGTGGCTCATGCCTGTAATCCTAGCTATTCAGGAGGCTGAGATCTGAGGATCACAGTTCAAAGCCAGCCCAGGCAGGAAAGGCCATGAGACTCTTATCTCCAATAAACCACTAGAAAACCAGAAGTGGCTCTGTAGCTCACGCAGTAGAGTGCTCACCTTAAGCTGAAGAGCGCAGGGACAGTGCCCAAGCCCATAGTTCAAGCCCCACAACTGACCCCCCCCCAAAATAAAATTGTGGCCACAACTAAGAAATGGAAACAGCATGCTAAACCCTAGGATACAGCAAAAACAGTGCTAAGGATGAAATGACAGTTGTGAACTTTTATATCAAAAGTACAGGACCAGGAGTGCAGCTCAGTGGTAGAGTGCGTGCCTGGCATTTGTGAGGTCCTGAGTTTAATTCCCAACAGTGCAAACAAACAAGCAGCATTTCAACAACGCAATGCAGTGAGTTACCGGATGACGATCGAGGCAGGCATGGTGGTGTACATTTGTAATCCCAGCAGTTGGGAGGCCGCAATAGGAGGAGCATGAGTTTAAGGTGCTTCAGGAAGAAGAAGCCAAAACCTAACAGAAAACAGACAAAGGATCGGAGTAGAAATAAATGAAATTGAATCTAAAGAATCCACATGGTTAGGGGCTGGGAAGGTGCCTTGCATGCATGAGGCCCTGGATTCGATTCCTCAGCACCACATAAGCAGAAAAAGCTGGAAGTGGCACTGTGGCTCAAGTGGTAGAGCGCTAGCCTTGAGCTGAAGAGCTGAGGGACAGCACCCAGGCCGAGTTCAGGCCCCACAATCGACCGAAACCCCCTCCCCCCAAAAAAGAATACATATGATTAGAAATGGTGGGTTTAAAAAAAATAGAGTAAGACCTAAATGAATAAAATCAGAGTTAAAAAACATTCTACTTTATATCACCGAAGTTCAGAAGTCAGGGATATTAAGAACAAGTACATGCTAACAAACTGATAACCTAGAAGGAACTGATAAATTCTTGAAAGTTTGAACTATAAAAAGTACAAAATCTAAACACACATATAGTGAGCAATAAAATAAAATCTGTAATAAATCAGTCTCAAGATTAGCCTAAGATTGGATGGCTGTACTGTAGTCTCTTAAACTTCTGAGAAAAAAGATCACAAAATTGGAGCTGAGAGAGTACATTTATACAAGTTTTCTAGAGCCAAATCCATACTTGTATAGTGAGCCATTTTATTTTTTTAAACAACACAAGTTATCTTCCCATCAATTATGTATAAGTGCATCTCTACCTGTGTGGACAGGAGTGAACACTCACACACATTTTCTTGTGTACTCAACTAAGAGAGACTAGCTGTGGAGACAGCTTCTGCCTTGATATTGCTGACAGATTGAAAGCCATTGACAGCATACACCTTTTCTTTTTTTTTTGGTCTGGTCGTGGGGCCTGAACTCTGGCCTGGGCGCTGTCCCTCAGCTCTTCAGCTCAAGGCTAGCGCTCTACCACTTGAGCCACAGCGCCACTTCCGGCTTTTTTCTTTTTGCCTATGTGGTGCTGAGGAATCGAGCCCAGGGCCTCATGCATGCAAGGCAAGCGCTCTACCACTGAGCCACCTTCCCAGCCCCACAGCATACACATTTTCTTCCCCGACTCTTAAGCATCCTTATGAATGCACCCTTAGCCAAGAAAGAAACACTGTGAGCATACCCTGGCTCAGCCCGTGTCTTCACGGTGGAGGGGGCATTGGAGCTGGAGGTATGCACAGCACTGCATCTAGCAGGTTGGGCTAGAGGTGTGGGAAGGGCCAGGCGGCTCCTTGCCGTTCCCTGCCCTGCTCCGTTTTCTTTCTTCCTGACCATCAAATGGAGTGAGTGTCGACGTATCAAATCCGCATGATACACCCAGACTTAGAAAGCTTGTGATTTATACAGAACTCTATCACTCTCTTCTTTTTTTCTCCGAACGAAATCAGAAGTTGTGGTCTCTACTGCTACTAATATAATTGTTCTCCACGCTATTGTAGCAAGTATCTAGCTTCTGACAAGATGTATTTTGTTATAGAAAGGCGTTTTAAGAGGCCGCATCATCATAACCTACATTGTCTTTAAGGTAAAGCATGAGATGGACCCATATTTCGAGATTAGGTGGTATTTCTCCCTTTTTCTCTCATGCCACACATGTGAGATAACATTTATCCTCTCTTCCTTTGGCCCCTAAACACCTCTTGTTGCTTAGGTTACACACGCAGATTTCTAGGCTAGTCCATGTGTGACTACTGATTTAATGTTAACCAGTTGGGTTTTAGGAAAATTGGGAGTATAAGGGATA